GGACTGATAGCCTCCATCGAAAGCCGTAACTGCCGCACGTGTATTTCTGTCACTACCGGGCTGATGCCAGACATTCGTCGAAACTCGGCGAGATATAGCAATGCTCCAGATCGAAGGCCGGAGCATACAGGACCGAAAGTGTATGCATCATAGCGCAGTGACAAGAAGTGATGAGTAAGTGGATGAATCAACCTATCAACCTCTACTGGGTCTGACCAGATAGAGTCATGCAGAACTATTTGCGCGTTGGTCCATTGTAACGATTGAAGAGCCGAGAGCAAGGACGCCGGAAGGTCCAAAGAGTCTAAGCACGGTGACACAGACTTGGTCGGTGAGTGTATATAACCAACTCCCTCGTTCACGTCTCCTAGAGCAGGGGCAACATCAAGTGCATAGGAACCAATCAGATCCACCCTGTACTCGTTAGCAGAGTGCTCCAAGTGAGAAGGACTGGGCCTGGGCGTGCAAACCATTTGACCACGGTCACCAACTTCTCATCCAATGCCCCCAGCGATAAGCCCGACTCCTGAATAAGTCTTGCCACCGCCGCCATGTGCGATCTCCAAAAAACCATATCTCTTTGCAGATGTGAATAGCATGCCAAGGCAGTAATCGCGCTCAATGTACCCTCCAAGACCCGCTTCCGGCCCAGCGACATAGCACTGATATCATTTCGAACCCGCACAAGCGCTTTGGTATGATTTGAGAGTATGAAATGCTTCAAGTCGTGTTGCATGTGGTATTGTGAGATATGGGTTGCATATGTAGCCAACATCTGGTCAAACGCGGCGGAATTCGTGATGCATATTGGATACCAGCGGTCTTTGTAAATCCGAAACTGGCTCGGGATGGCATCTGAGAACACTGGCGGAGAGACCAGTTAGTACGACCAGATGGGACTTCACACATCTATGAAAATCAACATACTGTGGTGAAGGAGGCGCTGCGATTCCCTATCCAGCACAACAGGACTGGCCAGGAACGACGGGATATGGGTCGACGACGTGGGACACTCTGGACTTTGAGAGCTCCCATATTGACGCTCAACGGGGGACGGGCTGGAGCCTGAATCAGATGCTGTTATGTCGCTCGATGTGCATGACGATATCGAAGGACTTTGAAACAATGCTGTCTGAACATTCCGGCGGGTGTAACCAATCTCGCGCATGACTCGCCGTCGCATCTGAGATCGCTGCCCCTTGGTCGGACGCGGACGCGTGGGAGTGGTGGTGATGAAGACCCATTCATTGGATTGATGTTGAGGGATAGGAGTCATGGTGCACATCATGTCACCTCTGGGGTGTATATTTCGCCATAGGCTGTCATGACCGTAAGCTGGCTTGATCACAACTGTGGACTACTTTTTGAGTCGGAGCTGAAGGGTTAACGTAATTCCCGGGTGAGCCGCCATCCCGGGCGAGCCGCCACCCCCCCATTCGAATTCAACGCGTTCAAATTCGAAGCTATCTAAATCACTACCATGCCACCAAAACTGTGTCAAACCCCTAGAAATTTGGTGGAACAAGAGGGAAGGATCCAACTAGCAATATCTGCTTTGAGAAAGAAAGAAATTTCAAGTGTTTAACGCGCTGCAGAGATATTTGATGTGCCTAGATCTACCCTCTGTGGCTGACTTAATGGATACCAATATCGAATTGAAAAGTGTGCTAATAATTACAGGCTATCTCCTATGCAGGAAGAATCATTAGTAGAATGGATACTATCCAGGGATCTATGTGGGGTGCCTCCTAGGCCATCTCATGTGTAAGAGATGGCTAATATCCTTCTCCAGGTAGATAATCCCTCTGGATTCAAACCTATTGGCAAGAACTGGGTCTCTATCTTTACTAAATAGTGTGAGGAGATTAAAACTTGATATGCTTAATAATATAATTATAGCTGAGCTTAATGTAAGGATCTAAAGATTATTAAGGAGTGGTTTAACTGCCTATAATAGATCTAAATGAAATATGGCATCTCCCATGAAGATATCTATAATTTTGATGAAACCAGCTTTACTATAGGCTTGATTATGACTACTAAGGTAGTTATAAGAGCTAATATGCCAGGGAAGTCTTATCTTATTTAGCCAGGTAATTGGGAATGGGTTATAATAATTGAATGTATTAATACCACTGGCTAGGTGCTTCCTTTATGTATAATCTTTAAGGGAAAGGTTTATATTGAGGGATGGTATTAAGATCACACTCTACCACCTGATTAGAGAATTAAAGTTAGTTAAAATAGATAGATAATAGATGAGATAGGCCTCTAGTAGCTTTAAAATATCTTTATCCCTGTAACAAGGAGCTATATAGTTAGAAGATATCATCTACTTATCTTAGATAGCTATGGTAGCTATCTAACACCTAGTTTTGACAAAGCTTGTAAGGATAATAATATTATTACTATCTATATACCTGCTCATTCTTCTCATCTCTTATAACCACTAGATATTGGTTATTTTAGCCCATTAAAATGTGCTTACAGAAGACTTATTAAGGAGAAGGTGTGCTTAGGATATAACTATATTAATAAGTTTGACTTCCTTTAAGTATATCTAACAGCTCATCTAGAGGTTTTTAAGCCTCTAAATATCTAGAATGGCTTCACTACAGCTGGAATCTACCCTTTTAAGCTAAAGAGGGTGCTTGAGAAGCTGAATATCTCTGTATCCACCCCTACCCCCCCTCCAAGCCGCGTAAGTTAATTAACCAGCTCCTTATGGCTTGCTATACCTTATATAATTCAGTAATTATAAAAGTAAGTATCCTTAGTTAAAAAGCTCCTAAAACAATAATCTTAAAGCCCTTTGACGCCTTTAAAACTAGCTATCCAGCAGCTTATTAAGGGTTATAAGATAGCTATGTATAGTGCAGCTCTACTAGCAAAGGAAAATCATGATTTACGCGTAGCCAATGAGAAGGAGAAGCAGAAATCAAAGAGATCTAGATGCTAGATGACTCCTAATGAAGGACTCTGCATCCAGGAAGCTAGGGATCTTATCCAGGCAAGAAATGAGAGAGATGGGGGGAAATCTATTGATTCTGCACCTTTATCATTAGAACCAACCAAACGCGCGCCACCAAGGTGTTTAAATTGCTTTATTATAGGGCATAAAAGAACTAGATGCCCTACACGCAATAGTAGCTAGATCTAATCAAATAATATTCTATTTTGGTTGATTTGGATAGCTTCGAATTTGAACGCGTTGAATTCGAATGGGGGGGTGGCGGCTCGCCCGGGATGGCGGCTCACCCGGGAATTACGTTACATCATTCCGGCCGCGTTATTATCACGTGACCTCCATCGTGTTCAAGCTGCCTTCGCGCAATCAATATTTGTTTGACTTTTTCGATGCTAGTAAAAGGTTAGAAGTATGTATGACTTTTGGGCAGAAAGTGAGCTTCGAAAATATAAATCTGATATTTGACGCATGCTTTCCATTATCAAAATAAGCACAAACGCAAAACGTTTCTACCCAGATAGCTTGAGGCTATATAAATAGGATCAGGCCCCATATTACACGCAGTCAGCCTTCGCACAAACCATGTCTCCCTGCATTTCAGTTACCAGTTTCTTCCATGATGCGATCCCACGTTGTGCATGACAGTAAGGAGTACTTGGGTCGGGGTCGAAGGTTGTGCGAGAGAATAATTCCATCGAGACCCAACCCTCGTATCCCAGAGCAAACACAGTTTGGGCAATGTCCTTCACAGGAAGATATCCCCCTTCTTCGAAGGCAAACAGTCTTGCATTCCGAGACCAGCTCATGCGACTTGGCTGCTCCGCCACATACCATTCATGACCCATCACCAATGGTGCCTTTAAGCGTTCCCCATCGACAACCTGGAACAAAAACACTCGTTTCATGTCGACAGTCTGACGGAGTCGTGCGAGGGACCGCTGCAGCTCTTTCTCACCATTGTAAGTCATCCCCGATGCACTGGCCGGATCGGCGTACACCCGGGCGGCAATGTTGAAGGTATCCAGGCAGAGACCAAAGTTGGGACGATCTACACGACGAACGATGTCCCAGCTTTGTTCCCAAGTATCGACGTGGTTTCCCCAGGCAAGAGCCTCGTAAGAGAAACGGATCGGCGGGGACTGGGCCAGTCCTAGATCTGCAGCCTGGCGCAGGTCGGATACGATCACTCGCCTGTTGCCAGTAGTCCGGGGTTCGCCGGTCTCAGGGTCTGGAGGAAGAAAGTTGGACGGGATAAGGATCATGTCTGTGTGCAGGATATGACAGATCTCAAACCAGAAGCGCAGCTTATCATAAACGAGGCGGTTATGCTCGGCTTCATCAAGGACACCTTCGTAAAACCAGAACGGCTGAAGGGCGATGATCTCTAGCTGGAGGGAGGTGCAAAGATGGCGGATGCGGAGAGCGCCTTTGAGGATGTTCAGGCGACTGGCACCGCCAGAAGACTGTGCGGCAAACGTCTCCAAGTCTTCGTAGAATAATTCAATGCCTTTGAACCCTTGATTCGCGGCTTGCTGGAGCTTTTCCGGCAGATCGTGCGCACATGTGCGACCAAGGGACATGGACGAGATCGCTGGCCGGCAAGGCATTTTTAAAGATGGTACAAGGAGGGAAATACTGCTTGCAATCCTTTTGTAGTGGTGTTAGTTGGTAGTTAAAGATTCGTTACTTGACGGGTGCAGGATCCTCTAACAGGAACTTCTGACCTCCTACAGTGGGGTTCAATGAACTATTTAACAAGAGGCAGCGACCAAGTCGACCAAGATCGGCCTTGATCCGACCACTTGTATGCCCGATTAAGACATAAGTATGCAAGCCTGCTCGTCATTCCGGTAATTCTAATTGGATCTGAGGACCCAATTCAACTTCAATGATGGCAACAGGCGCTCCAGGTTCCTAATTAGTCAAACGGATTGACTCCGCAAAACGCCTGTCTGGGAAATATGGGACAGGAGTCTACCCAATTGTACTCTTTCCCATTCTCTATCTGGAGTCAGACCTAGATTACCGCTCTCTATACAGGCTCTCTGCTGCCTTCCTGGCTGCTCTTTCTAGAGCTTCGCTGCTCCTGGAATGTGCAGACCGCATACACCAAAGCGATACCAAATGCAAGTGCAGCCAGTCCCACAGACGACCACAGGGCAGCACGGTACCCTCTTAACTGGTTCACGCCATGATGACTTACTTCCGCCTCCACCGTCCCCGCTATGCCTAAACCGATGGCGATCGAGTAATTGATGACGGTGTTGACTAGTGATGCGGAGGCTCCTTGGTGCTTGACGGGCACTGCATCACTCAAGATAGTAGTGGACGCAGGGAAGGAGATATCCATACTACGGATCATTAGGTTAGCTTTGTCATAATAGAGCGCCAAGGCCGTGATAGGGACCTTACCCCCAGGCCATGATAACAAACGACCAAAACGTATTCATCCAGTAGGACTGCTCTACTGGTGCCGTACTTTGCAGGATGCATCCACCCAGAAACGCAGCACAAGCGATTGCCATCAGCCAGCCGCTAGTGATGACGGCCATCAGATAGGGTGTGGCAACGGCAGCCAGAATCCCAGAGATGGCCCCTGGCGCGAACTGCACTGCTGAATCCAAAGGGGACACATGTCGAAATTGCTGGATAAACTGGAACAAGTAATAGAACCAGACACCAAAACTGCTCCATCCTAAGCCGGTAGTCACCAGGATTGCTACAACCCGTCGACTAAAAATGGATACATCCAGTATCGGATCCACGGCGCGCCGTTCCTGGAGAACAAAGAGACCCAGAACGAGGAATCCAACAATCAACAAGACATAAACATAAGGCGTGGACCAGCCGTCGATTGGCGCTTGGTTCCATGAGATATTGAGCAAGAGCAAGCCTGCAACGCCCAGGCCCGACCCGATATAGTCAAACTGGAGTCCCGCGGCCTTTTGGAAGCGCGGATAGTCTGCTGGAATCACCCAAAGGCCAACGGCCGCAATAATGAAGCATCCGATGCTGTACGTCCACATCACCCAGGGCCACCAGACGTCCTGTGCGAAGGCCGAACCGATGAGCCCGGCGGTAAAGCATCCCAGTGGTGCGGCCACGGCAAATGCTGAGAAGATCATGTTCTTCTTCTTGCCAGGTGGGTAAGTTCTCCCAGCAATTGCGAGCGCATTTGGGAGAAGCAATGCTGGCCCAATGCCCTGGAGCGCTCGAGCAGTGTCAAAGAACACTGGTGAGTGTGTGAAGGCACTGCAGCCGCCGATGACGGACCAAACGCCGAACCATGTCCAACCCAGGATAAGGATGCGCTTGGAACCATACAGATCGCCGAGTTTCCCCGCAATCAGAATAAACGTGCCCACCGTCAAGCTATAGCCGCCCACATGCCAGGTCATCCGGGTGGCCTCAGATGGTCCCTGACCGAAGGTTTGCCCCACGATATGCAAGGGAATGAGGATATATCCAAAGGAGCCCTGAACGAAAAGCTGCGTTGAGCACAAGATGAGAATGAAGAGCCATTCCTTCAGCCCATGAGGCGGTGTCTGGTAAACATCGGATTGTTCAGCCTCCGGTGGTGCTTCGCTTGGCAATATCACAGCCCTGTGACCAGCGTTGGTTTGGAGGTCCGTCTTCTCAGCGCTGGCTGCCATTGCAAGTATAAAATAAGTCCTCCAGGATGTTTCCAAAGCAGAAACGGAGGCATTGGGATAGACATGGTTTTAAAGCGAGACACCGAAAAGCAAGGAAACCTGAGTAATAGGTGGCTGTATCAAGTTTACTGACTATTCGGCACCTCTATGGCTGATTTGTCAGGGAAAGGATTGACGTAGCTTAGGTACCTATCCTTGAACACAAAGAAGAGGAAACCGGATGTCCGAAAACGGAAATGTCGGACCTTCAAGTTAGTCTACAAGTGGGGCAGACAGGGGACCAAGCTCTCGATCAGGCCTAGCGTCCTTGTTTGGATTCGTGGATTTTAGTGGGACCGACAGGGGACCAAGCACCATATTAGGACTAGCGCTACTTCCAGATATGAATAGCCATCAAGAAGATTGGTTCTCTACCAAATTAAGTACAAAAGACATACAATACAATATCAGTCAGACCCTATTGCAACGGCGACGGCGAACTGCTGCTGCCAGTCTCTCTAGGCAGCCAACAGTGTCCTCTAGGCCAATACAGCCGTCCGTTATGCTAACACCCTTTTGTAGTCCGGCACGACCTTCTGGTGGAATGGTCTGTTTTCCACCATATAGATTTGATTCAATCATAACACCGATGACAGAGTGTTCTCCAGACGCCACTTGGTTGCATACTTCGTCAACAACAATAGGCTGCCGGCGGAAATCCTTGTTTGAATTCCCATGGGAGCAATCAATCATGATCCCGTGCAGGCATTGCGACTGACTGAGCTGTCGCTGCGCTTGCTGCACATCCTGCAAGTGGTAGTTTGGACCCGATGAGCCACCACGGAGAATCAGGAAACAGTCGGGGTTGCCCGAAGAACTGATAATCCGGGAGGTAGAGTTGTCTGTTGGTCCACAGAACGTGTGCCCCGTGCCTGCGCTGATGAGCGAGTTGATCGCTTGCGTTACACTGCCATCCGTAGAGTTCTTGAATCCCACTGGGAAAGGCATCGCGGAAGCTAATTCGCGATGGGGCTGAGATTCAGTCGTTCTGGCTCCTATAGCCCCCACGGATATGAAGTCACTGAGATACGCTGGAGAACTTAGGTCGAGTAACTCGCTCGCAATTGGGACACCCAAGTGCGTCAGGTCAGCATACAGTTGCCTCGAGATGTGTATTCCTTTTTCCATATTGCAGGACCCATCCAGATCGGGGTCGTTCAGAAGCCCCTTCCACCCCACAGTTGTGCGTGGCTTCTCCAGATACGCTCGCATAATAATGCATAACTCTGAGGAGAGACGATCTGCGACCGGTTTGATCTTCTGTGCGAATTCGACCGCCGCATCAGGGTCATGAATTGAGCATGGTCCTACCAGTACCAGAAGCCGGTCGTCTTGCTTGGTGACAATGGCTGCGGCCTCTTTGCGACCTCGATCTACCGTCCAAGCGGATTCCGAGGACTAAGATAAATTAGGACTTTGTAGGTTTGACAGGCGTAGAAAGGCGCCTACCGTTGGAATCTGTGCTCTGAGAAGACCCGGGCAGATGAGCGGTCGATGGTTTATCACTGGCGCCGGTCAATATGCGTCAATTCAAAACAAGTGCACGATCTGTCGGAACACACCTCTACTTGAATCTTCGGGGGGTCTGAGCACAGTATTCAATTGTCGCATAGCCTGCGCCCATGAGCGACGGATTTCCCATCTAGTAAGGGCATGAGATTGAATAGGCTCTTGGCGGGGATTGCTAGCATGCAGCACAATGGGCCCCTGGGTCGAGGGCGACCTCAACTGGGTATGTGTCATTGCTGGTCTTGCTGAAGTTGCAGCCATTTCGTAGCAGGACGTCAGTAGTAGCTACTATTGGGAAAGTGTAATGCAGATCGTTGTGCGACTTTTGGCTGGAAGTGCTGCTTCAATGCGCGTCTACAATCCCATCACGCAATGAGAGGACTCTGAGCAAAATATATTAAAGCAGGCACGAAAATCACATCACTTTATTGATACTCTTGCTTATTTGCCCGAAGAGGCAACATGCGGAACTGATCCGGCCATCTGCCTGGGGGAGTATCCCGATACCTCGGGGGACGGTTTTGATCGATTGGTGGGATTCCTACCGGATGCAAGGAAGAAAGCGGTATACGTACTGGGTAATGAGCRTAATCGGCCACAAATAATGTGGATACTGGGAACAAGGATCATGACCTGTTATTGCTCACTAGCGCAATTACTCGACAGCCTGTTGTTAGTAGGGACTAGAGCATGTGTATATCGCCCAGCTCTGTCATTCTACCTAATCATGGCACGATACATGTTACTGCAACCAATTCCAGATAGAGCATTTCCAACACTTAAATCAAGTTTCATTCGGTTCTGTTGGCCTATAGTAGTGCTGCTGTCGCTCTGCGTGGAGCAATTTTATAGCTGTCACATCTAGAAATCCGTCCCAATATGGACCCCACCATCGGCCATCACGTTGGTACCCTGCACATAGGAGCTTAACGGACTCGCTAGGAATACTGCCACATTTGCAATGTCTTCGGGGGTCCCGAAGCGTTTCAGCGGCACTTTCAGCCTCTGCTCCTCCACCCATGCGGGGTCAATCTTGCTGTAAGACTCCCAAGCCCCATCTTGTGCCCAAATTGGACCGGGCGAGATTGCATTCACTCTAATTCCCCGAGGTCCTAGGAAATGCGAGAGCTCTTGGACGTGCTGCAGTTGTGCCGCCTTGCATGCACCATAAGGAGCCGGGGGACTGCGGAAGAATTCGCGGCCCATGAAAGATGACTGAACGATGATGGACGGCTGAGGCGACTTCTCTAACCACGGGAGACTAGCTTCCACGAGGTTAACGAAGCCCATGACATCGAGGTCGAAGGAGGATTGCCAGGTTTGCGGGGTGGATTCAAAATGCATGTTGGACGCTGCATAGGTTAGCAAGGAACGAGCGTTTGCATTCTATAGAACGCGGTATACAAACCATTGGCAATCACAATATCTATTCTGCCGATGCGAGTGGCAGAGTCAGCCACCCATTTGCTCAGAGCGTCCCGATTGCTGATATCCACCGAGGTACCATATGCTCGAGGGGTTATCCCTTGCTCTTGTTCTTTGCCGAGCGACGAATTAAGCTCAGCAAAGTCGTTCTCGCGGACAGTGCGCGCGCAGTAAGAGACGTTGCAGCCTTGCTCAACAAAGGCTTCAACCATGCCGCGGCCGATGCCTTTAGTGCCTCCTAGTACTAGTCAGATCTGCATTATCCCAATAGTGAAACGTCGTTGAAAGCTGTACCTGTGATCAGGACATGGCATCCTGCCAACTTAGTGTCTAGAACCATCTTGCCTTTGACTTCGAATAGTACGATGAATCATAATCATGACGCCTTGAAGGTGGTTGATCGACTTGGATTTTATACGTCTGAACAATCCTTACGGAATACTTCCGCGAGATTTACCTATTGTGGCAATCCGGTAGAGCCATGCATTTCTTCTTCCTGCTTGATTGATCACTTCTAGAATAAGACATTTACCCCCAAACATCTTCTTGCCATATTCCTCTCCGCTTCCGAGTTTGGATCCAGCTTCGAACACGGGATTCATCCCACCCCGTGCTCTCCATGATCATTTCCACAACGGCCGTCAATACCCCTTGTGCCATTGCTGTAGACCCACATACATACAAAGGGTTTCCATCTGACAGGAGATGCTGAAGTATGTCTTGTTTGTGGTTTCGGATCGCATCCTGTACATACATTTTGTCGCAATCTGGGGCCGGATGCCGCGAATAGGCAGGGATCATTCGTAAGGAAAACCCTGGCACCGCAAGCGATTGATCCCACTCATCGCGAAAAAGGAGGTCATCCGGTCCGCGACAACCGTAGAATAAGGTCGTCTCCCCGACCTCCCTTCCAACCAAAGCTGTCTGCCTTCTTTCCTGTACGAACGCGCGAAAGGGTGCAATCCCCACACCTGCTGCCACCATCATGATGGGCACAGTAGGCGTGGCAGGTAGTTTAAATTTTGATCGCTGGAGCTGACCATAAAGCCTTCCCTGGACCCCATCTTTGGAAGGCACAAGGGGTCTGTATTCGGGGATCGTGGGGTGCGCACCGTCCACAGTATGCAGACTGCGATGCAGCGTGGTGACAAAGTCAGTTGTCAGACCGTACCTCCACGCTTCACGGTTTTTGGAGCTATGCTCTTGGTCTAGTAGCGTAATGGCCAAGGATATTGCTCGAGGAGACATTGCCGCCGAGGAAGAAATGGAGTAGGCTCGCGGTCGAAGACGTGGAATATTTTCCAGCAACCATGATAAAGGAATTGTATGCCACGTGGAGTGGTCAGCGCTGTGTTCGCGAGCAAAGTACTCCAGGATATCAGTTATTGTTAGGTGAGCACTGTCCTTTATCCTCAGGGGAACCCCTGCACCGTTTCTCATAACTTCAACTGCGTCGCGGATCGGAGTAGTTGGAGCCACCTGAGCAAGCGCCTGGATCACCTGTTTCGAAACAGGTGCACAGATCGCGAGATAGAATCTGAGTAGGCTCTCGAGGGAACAAGGGTTTGGAAGCAGTGTTTCTAATTTTCCATTCTCAGAGGCAGGGTTGATCTGAAAGACCTGCTTTTTCGCGGGTTCCTCCTGACGGCCAATCAACCGCAAAAGGCGCTCTACCTCGGCGTCTGGATTTGATGGCCACAGTAGTAGATGATCTCCAGTGGCATACTTCAGATTCCGATGATGGGAAATGTCGATCTCCAGTTGCAGACAGGGCTTCCGTGACTGTGGGTTCAAAATTCGACTATTGGTGAATCTCAATTCGAAAGGAGCAGAGCTGGGCAGCCGCTGCAGGCCCATGCCGGTCCTTGACCTCACATAGTAGGGTTCTCCCAAGGCAGTACAAGTAGGTTCTGGCTGCTCGACTGGGGAGAGGAGAAATGAAGGCTCATATATTACTGGGTGCTCCTGATAGGCAAACTGTGCCCGCAAAGCATCGACGGTCTCATCTTGCCAGCGAAGAAATGTTTCTTCAGTCGAGCCATTGGCCGCATCCCCATATCCAACACTACCAATACGTATCGCTCCCTTGTCTGCGAGGGACTCTGATACCCATGCGACGGTACGATTGAAGTGTTGGTAGGCGCTGCTCCCCAGGCCAAACGCGGCATAATGAAGATCCCTCAGTGTGGTCTGTGACTGTGACAACCATCGACAGAACGCCACCGCATTGTCGGTTGGATCGCCCTCACCATACGTCGACAACAAGAACACCACGGGTCTGTCAGATGGTATGGAAGTGATTGATTTTGGAGAAATCTCGGCTAGGTCTAGTACGCCAGCATGTAATCGTAGACGCTGCCGGAGAGTCCGCGCGAGTGTATGGGCGAGGCCTTCGGCAGTGCTTGTCTGGGAGCCCCAAAGCACAACGATGTCGTATTCTTCTTTTTTCATGCGTAGGCTAATGTCTGCATTCTCCTCCCTGGCCTGTCGCTTTCGGCCCAGAACCGTTTGCTGCCGACGTTCGAATAGCTGCTCCTCGAGCGGATTGGCTTTGTACCAATATCTATGACCGCAGAGGTAACCCAGCCCCAGAATTGGGAGGAGGAGGAAAGCCAGGATATCATCAATGTCGAGGGCTAGAATGACAGACTGCATGTTGTCTGCTTTCCAGTTACTCAGCGTACGTCCGATAATTGTGAACCTGGCAGGAAAATACTTCTGCTGGCCAATATATTTCTGGAGCAGTGACCTGAGTATTGACGCCTTACCACATGGGACATTCCCGGTGCTTCCAAAACAGTATCGGGTGCCACACCGAGACAGATGGATATAAGAATGACCATCCACAAGGTGACGCATTTCTCTGTATCTACATCAGTCTCCATTGATCCTATCAGGTTTCATATCAAATAGTCCCGACAATCCCAATGCCACCTTTCAAGCCACGTCATGTGTCAGCAGGGACAGATACTATCCAAAGGTATATCACAAGATATCTGGGGCGAAGTTCTAACACTAAAACCGTTTAGTTTTGGGGGGATTCTCACCACTGAATTCCTGGAGCCTCCACCCGGTAGAGGGTTCTGTTTCCGCCAGACTTACCGAGCGAATCTGGACGGTCCTGTTGATGAGAAAATCCAGCGAGTCATTGACAGCAATGCCAAACCATCCGGACCTCCGCCGCATCTTCACCGGTATCAGACCGAATACTTCAAGGTAGAACAGGGTCTAATGGGGGTGAACATTAATGGAACCATCTACAAGAAAACGCCAGCAGATCCGGAGTTCAGTGTACCAGCCAACGAATTCCACGGCTTTTTTCGTCATCCAGACGGCGAAGGACCCATGACTGTAGTGCTGAGTGCCTCGGACTCCGGGCGGGAGGAGAAGCTGGACAGGGTCTTCTTTGAAAACTGGTATGGCTACTGGCATGATGCGACGATTCATCACGGAGGGATGAACTACATCCAGTGGTTGCAGGTATAGTCCGCTCCAAACGAACATGCCTCGGATGTAGATGGTTAACGCTGGCAGATCTACGACGCTGGCGACGCATACCCGTATATGCCTACCTGGATCCCCTTTCGCAAAACCGTCGCGTACTGCTGGGGGGTTGCCGTAGGCAGATGGCTCGGAGGAATGCTCGGTTATTGCCCTTTCTTCGCGGAATATACGACCGACTGGGATCAAGCTGTAGCCAAAATGGAGACTCACTTCTGGCAACGACGACGATTGCGGCGTGAGGGGCTTCTCGGAAAGGGTAAGGATCTTAGGGCTAGTGTTAGTAGTACTGAGGGGGGTTATTAGGAGTTCTGCGATATATTTTGGCCGGGGCTGTACGTAATTGAACTATCAACTGAGCCCGTTCTTATAGTTAGGAATTAGGTCCAAATCAGACTTGATTCTCACTTGACATTCTGGTACTCTTTCCTTTCTCCGGGCATCGAGCTCCATCCCGTTTACCCAATCGAGTAACTTCGGAAGTCCTGAGACATAGTCTCAAGTCTACGATGATCAGAATCGAGTGGTCATACACCTTAAAGCAGAGCGAAGTGATTCTATGGAAGCATCTCAGCTTGCAATAGTCATTATAATCAAAAGAAAATTTTGCTAGAGATGATTTTCCAACTATAAATTCCCCTTTTACTACACTCAAGAGGCGTATAATCACCACCAAACTATCACCAGACACGCTCTAGCTCGGCCTCGTATTCAATTCCAGCCAGGACCTTCGCCTGATCCACCCATTCGAGCACCCGCGATGATCCCTTCTCACCCACAATCACTGCATCTGAAGGATGAGATCCTCGATCACGAATTACGGTGGCAATCACATCAGCCTGATACCGCAGTCCCCAACCGACAACTGGTTTGGTGATGACTTCTGTCGTTTCAAACCCGTTCTCATCCAGCTTATCTGGTCCGTAATACTGCACGGTGAGCGTCTCGGGTCGGATAGGAGGGAACGGCAACGCAATTTCGCCCTTTTCGCCTTGGATCCTCACACACGGGGCATTTTTCTCCCGCAGAAGCTTGTCCTTCAACCCCAGCTTTGGAGAACCCGGGATGGAGGACGAGATAGTTACCACACAAGTCGTTGGGCTCCGTCCCGAGCGCGAGAGAATGATTGTCGTAATGTCGTCTAGTGGGTCACTGACCCCGGTCTCATGCTGGATTGTTTCCGCATATTTGACCGTCACAGGCTGATCGTCTTCGCCCTCTTCGCCGTCCGCAGAAGAGAGAGCCAAATCGCACCAAGTAAGGGGATATACACCAAGGTCTAATAGCGACCCGGAGCCGGTTTTCTTGTCCAGGAAGCGCGAGTTTGCAGTTAATGTGGGATCTCCAAACAGTGGGAGAGAGTAGTCGGCCAGGATGCGCTTCACGGGCCCAATCCGTGAAAGTAGCTCTTCCTGCAGGTACCGGGTAAGTGGGAAGTATCTTGTCCACATCGCTTCCATGAAGACGACTTTGTTGCTTTTGGCAATCTCCGCCAGGCGATTGTACTGGGCCTTGTTCATCGTCGCCGGCTTCTCGAGGAGAACATTGCGGCCGTGGGTGAGGGCTGCGCGGGCATGCTCAAAGTGTACACCATGGGGCGTCGATATATACACCACGTCAAAGTCCCCTTCGCGGAGCATGTCTGCGTATGAGGTGTATATGCGCACGGTAGAGGCATTGGGCACTTTTTGCTCCGTTAGCCAGCTTGCGGCCGCTTCGGTGGATCGCGTGGTTGAGACAGCGACCAGTTCGTGCTGTAGATGTTTCTCTTCGTCTCTGGGGTGAGTGAGGTCCCTGTAAAAGAGCTCGGCAATGCTAGAAAGTCCCAGAAATGCCCATCGGCAGTGGAAGGGTGGCTCGATTGACTGATTCATCATTTCCAGAAAGCTGCACAGTTCCGAATGCCGTCATGGTAAGACCAGCTCGGAGTCGATTGGCAAGTTGGCCTGTATTTCAAGTCACTCGAATCCAAATCACCAGCTCGGATTGAATCAACGCAGGTAAGACCGGCTTCCTTTATTGGTCCGTCCGATGATGGAAATGTCTCTCTAGGTATTCTATCGGAATACTTGCTGTATTTTATTGACCAGTTTAGGAAGATCGGAGGGCCTCCGGAACAGGATCAAGAACCGCCATATTCATTTCCAGACTACAAACACGGCAACGAGATAGGGGATAGATCCGCTTTCGGAAAGGATTGATAAGACTCTTACATTGGGGTACGTCAGCGTCTGCTCTCGACCTATGATTGCTGTCAATTCCACCGTACCTTTACGGAATGATAAAAGGTGGCTGTTGTCTGTCTCACCCTCTCAATCTGACAAATGACGTAGCCAGCCAGTGACAGAAGTACGTCGCTGCTGACCACCATGTTTTGCTGCTCTAATGGGATCATCTGCTGGTGGGGTAAGGCCGAGCCTTATTGTTGGTGATTCCGGCGAAACGAGAGGTCAATATATATAAATCCCTGGGGATCGGCATGAGCCGCTACTTGCCATTTGCATATAGCACTTGCAGTACCTCAGTCGATCAATCAAGCCCTTCTCGTCATACCCGCGGTAAATATCGTTTTTCTGTTTGTCATTTGCTGAAGAGTCACCACCCCCCACCTTTTCAGCTACCCCAATAATTACGAAAGAGTTTCTGGTTTGAGCTGTTGGGGCTGTTTCAGGCATATGCTGATTGATACCGTGCTCTGTGTGCTTATCTGACTGGAAACGAGGTTGTGAAATTTCCGTCTATTGGCTATTGCTGGCTGAAGGATTGTAGATGCGTGAAGGACTCATGTTGCTCCAGTCGCAAGCAGGGGTAAAGCAAGATTTTAACGGTTCAAGTGCTGCATAAGTGCTGCACGTCTGTCAATCTTCAGCAAGAAACTGTAATCATTGCGTAGAGCGGCTCAAAAATAAATGGAAAAATGGGAGCGGATGGCTGGATGGCTTGCATGAGAATCAGGAAGAAACAGAGTCTTAAAGACCGTGGCTGCACAGTCCAGCTTCTGATCTGGGGTTCAGAGTTTGCGCCAATCAACTCTAAAGTGATGTATTCGACATTTCCTGTCTCCTCTTCGCCAGGCAAAGATACCCTGCGCAAGGCAGATCAGCCAAAGCCTAAGCGTCACCATGTTCCCATTGCCTGCGAGAGCTGTCGCAAGAACCGTATCAAGTGTGACAATTCCCGTCCATGTCGTAATTGCAAACATCGAAATATTACCTGCACCAACGTAGACACAACCGATGTCAGGGCTTTGACCAGGTAAATTACCAAATACTCCGTGATCTCTTGTCCATCATGTAGCTGACACTCAATGGATGGGCCTCAGACAGGTCCAACACCTATTGGGACGGGTGCAAACCCTCGAAGCTCGAGTGCAAGACTTCGATATGCTCTCCCCCAGTCAGCTTAATGAGTTATCGGCAACGGAACCGATGAGAACAACCCCGCACCAGTCGCGCTTGATACAGTCCTCTACAGCGCAGAATGAGAGAGATGACCATCAAAGGCCGACAGATATCTCCAAGGAAAAAGAATCGTCCGCTGTTCGGGTGAATCTGTCTACTTCGGCCTTCGCTACGGATCTAGGCCACCAGATACGCTACCCGCTGCCTCATCCACTAACGGCAGAGTTGGTGGTGTACCAATCGCCCGTGTCTACTCCCGGTCCAAGTCGCATTGTGAGCGAGAATATCCCCAGAGCTCTGGCTGATTACTACATTCGTCTCTACGGGCGGACCATTCAGCGAATTCTGCCTGTGCTTGACGAGGATGATATCCAAGCGCATTGTGCCCCTCTCTGGAATGAGCCATCCTACTGCCCTGGGAAGTCGGCGCTCGCCGATATTATGCTGGCGCTATCATTGCTTACGGACGCCAATGCCAGGTCAAGCCAGAATCGTGGTTTCGCACTGTCGGCCTTCTCGGGTGCCCGCGATCCGAAACAAGACCAAGTCAGACTCATGTCTAATAGACTTTTTCGTCGTTGCGCTGTGAGCCTATCTGAGGATGATCCTGGCCCGTCCCTAGGCAGGCTGCAGTGCTATATTCTGATGACCGTTTATTGCCGCAACGATTCAAACCACACAATGGCGTATCAACTGCTAGGCCTGGCAATAAGGATCGGATGTCTCCTTGATATTTTCCATACACCATCGCAGACTCTACCTCAGAAGGAGCGGAGATTGCGCAGGAGATTAGGAGAGATACTTTACTGCTTAGACACTCAGCAGTTCCTTGAATTCGGACGCCCACCGGCCATTGTCGACGGCAGTTCGACGACGCTGCAGGCGCAGCCTGAAAGCCTCACACAAGAACATGAAGATGCGAATGACGAGGACGACATCTTTCTCACAAACTATGTCCAATTGGTCCGAATTGCTAAAGTGGCGCACCATCTGGTTGACAGCGAAGCTACACCGGTACGTCAGCCTCGCGTCTGCCAGCAGCATCAGCAAACAAACTTTTGCAGCAATGCCACACTCTTGGAACAGCTAGAGAGGAATGACCCTCGTTGGAGGGAGCAATTCCGTTCCTGGACTACCACAGTCCCTGATCGCCTTCTGCTACCTCGGAGCCCGCACAGTAGCGGTCAGCCCTTCTCCACCGAGACCGCACTCATTCTGGACCTGGATAAGCCGACCTGGCGACTACGTCAGGCGTTGCTACTAGAGCTCTCGTACCACTGGTTCCAGCTTGGGCTACTGCGTCCGTTCTTGGGACAACATCACAATCAAATTTACGCACAGGAAGCGGTGCAACATGCCTTGGCGCTGACACGGATCACCAACCAGGCTCTCCTAGAGACGGACACCATTTACGGGTGGTACGACTCACACTTTATGCTGTGGGACGCCGCCTTATCGTTGATGGGATATACGGTGCTGTGTGCGAACAGTGGGAGTTCTTTGACTGCCGAGGTTAAGGGAGGTTTATCCATGTGCGAAACCACCTTCGAAGCATTGGGCACCCCATTTACAGATCGTGCAGCTGAGCTCATCGGTGCGTTCGTGACACAAAGCACTACTCTCGTCGGGGACACTCATTCCAAACTGAGAGACCGAGGCAACACCGCCAACGACGAGAATCTCGCCCAGCAGTGTGCAATAGGCCCGGTAATGGAAGCGGATGGAGGGGACATGACAGGAGAGGAGATGGACTTGGAACAGATGATGTTTGAGGAGACCTCAACTAATCTGCATCTCGGTTTTCAGCTCGATACATTGGCGGATGCTGCTTCTCTTCTGCCTCTAGGCAATGATTTTTCGTTTGTTGATGCATAAAGACTAATATCCATTGCCAAGATTACACCTCAATAAGTTACTGGTCGGGAAAGACGATACATCACTATTCTCCAGCGAAACAGTGTCTCTTCGAAATAAAATGAAGAACATGCTAGTTACCTAGCAGAACCTTAACATAAAGCGAATTAAACAACTTTCTTCAACTCCATCAGTGTGTCCGCACTTCCCGCAGGCTGAACCATCCCTACCACTTGCAATGTCGGATCTGCGGCCTGGAATAGCTTCTCCCAGTCATCAAATGTTCGCTCTTTGCTTCCAAACTGCGTCATCATCTGCATATCCAGCGCCCGCATGACCCGTTCCGTCTGCCAGTCATAGGTCCCCGGTTGGCCCAGCACCTGCTCTGCCACGATGATGGAAGCTCCGGGTTGCAAGACGGCAGCAAGATGGCGCAAAATTACCAGACAGTCATTATCATCCCAGTCATGGAGAATATGCCGGAGCAGCAAGACATCAGCCATCCCGGCGAGGCGAGATTGCGGTTCAAAGAACGAGTGTGGTTGGAAAAACACCCTCGACTTCAAAGCTGGGGGAATCTTCGCGTCCGCCCCTTCTTTGAGATTGATACTGTCTTGTACAAACACGGTGAGGTTGGGATATGCCTGGGCAAGAGCAATACCGACGAAGCCGTCCGCTCCTCCGACCTATGCTGCAAGTTAACATAATTGTGGACAGGGACAACTTGGCTAGCCTTACATCGATCACCACGGCATCCTCCTCCAGATCTCCCCATGCGAATCCACTCACAACATGACTAACGTCATGCGGGCCACCATTAGTGATGAGCGCCATATACAAACCATATTTCTGAATCAGGTCCGGGCGTTTTTCAGCATATGACCACCAGGTGTCCGTTGTTGCATGTGCGATTTGAAAGGCACTCTTATACTCGCTATCTGGCTTCCCGGCTTGGGCAGCCTTTAACCAATCGGGTAATCTCAAGGAGGATGGCAAGCAGACCTCCAGCTGGTACGAGAGCAGCGGCGAGAGACGGATCATCTCTTTTGACAGTTCTGTGTGCGCTATCATGCCAACCGAAGGTTCCCAAAACAGGCCGTACGTCATTGCCTGGCGGAGGATGCGCAGAAGGATGTCGGATGGAATATGGCATTTAGCTGCGATTTCAGTTACTGGAGTGCTCCTATCATCGTCCTGAGGAACCATGTCGAAGATCCGGTAGTGGTTTATGATCCTCAAGGAGGCCAAATTGTGCTTTTCCTGGGGAGACTCGATGAACAATCTGTTCTCTGCAGAATGGATCAAACTGGGACTTACGATCAACGCCATGTTTTTTAAAACCTCCGTCGGCCCCATCACCTTGCGAATCACCTGCTGGCAGGCGTTGAGAAGAACACTCCGAGCGTCGAGCGCATCCTCAGATCGTGTCTCATGGAGGGACTTAGATGCCGGCAGTTGCTCCAAGGTGCTCACGGAAGCAGTTATAATGCCCGCCAAATGGGCAAGCGTAGGCTGGATATCGACCTGAACAGACATGGTAAATGTTGAATTCAATGATAAAGCAATGTATATTGATACGAAAACAGTCTGTAGCTTGTCTGCGATCTCTCGTTGCTACAGCGCTGTTATATAACTGTTATCTTCTTCTTGCTCAATTTTTGACGCTTTATTTTAACCAATAGTCACTTCGCAGAAATCTACTGGTATCAGGAAGACAGAATCTCGTCGAGGACTCGATCCGCCCACTGCCGTATTGGGAATCGGATTAGTTCCGGCTAGAGGAGGAAGCCATTTGAGGTAATCCGTCCAGTCTGTGATCTATGTAGCTCGTCATCGTTGACGTATGCGTATGACATTGGCAAAATCAGCATTATAATCAGTCTGACAATAATCTCTTGAGTTGGTCTTGCATCAAAACTCCCAACTTGGCGATTGTTGTCTCTCTGGTTAGCGTTTCATGATGCTGGGAATGATGCTTTTGCTCGGCCTCTTGGCCAGTCTCTTCTTCAGATTTGTGATATGGGCCGTTTTCGTATATCTGCGAGATCCCAAAGGCCTGAGGAAATACCCTCTGCTGCATCCATTGTCTGGCATCTCCGACATTCCTTTCATGCTGGAATCGATGCGTGGATTCCGCTCTGCTACACTCCTGCGGCTGCACTACGGACAAGGCCATCCAATCATTCGTTTAGGGCCGAACGCTCTGTCCTTTGCAGGAGGACAAGCTATCCCGGCTATCTACGGACATAGTACACCAACTACCAAGGATCGGCAATATTTGAATGCGGCGGGATCCCACTTCCACTTGGCTGATGTCGTCGATAAAAAGGAACACGCGCGAAAGCGAAAAGTGCTCGCCTCTGCGTTTGCCGCTAAACACCTTGAAGACTGGGAGTACAAAGTGGCAGACAAGGTACACCGTCTCATGCAACGCTTCGACCAGCACTTGGTACAAATGCCGGACGACCCATTGGATTACCGATCCTGGACCAACCTGTTCACGATCGATAGTCTCTGCGACATCTGCTTGAGCGAGCGACTGAACTGCATTGATCGTGGCACCGACAGTGTGACCGCTGAGGACTTGGCAGGTCGGACCAAGGAGGTCTCATTCCGCGATTGTTTATATGCCACGTTCCACATAGTGGGAGATCTTGTCTGGTCATATGAATGGTATCATGTGGTCTCCTGGGTACTGCAGCGTTTTAGTCGTCAGTATGCTCGCTTATCCCAACTCGGTAACGGCTGGTCTCAACTTGTCCACCATCTGACCAAGCGTCGGTGGGAGCGCTATGTCCGTGAGGAGCCGATTAGTGATATATTTGCCGCTCTTATGGAAGATCCCACGGGAAACCCACAAGATCTGGAGTGGGGTGAGGTGCTGGCAGAGATATCCCTCGCCATCAGTGGCTCGTCCTCCACGTCCAATTCTATTGCGAGCACCATGCAGTTGCTGATTGAGAATCCGGACAAGATGCGCAAACTACAAGAGGAAGTAGACTCAGTCATGTCGACACAGCTGGATGACAGTCCGGATGGGGACGCGCCCACGGTGGCCTCTTACGATCAGATCAAGTCTTTGCCATATCTGAGAGCGGTCATTGATGAGAGTCTCCGGTTGTATCCACCAATCTCCCATGGCTTACCCCGAGAGACGCCAAAAGAGGGCATGATGATCATGGATCAGTGGGTGCCTGGAAACACTACTGTTTCAGTGTCCGCATATGTTGCCCATCGAGATCCTTCTGTTTTTGATCAACCGGAGTCTTTTGTACCAGAAAGATGGTTAGGAGAGCAAGGGCGGGCCCTGCAAAGCCGTTTTATCGCCTTCTCGGCTGGTGCACGAGGCTGTATTGGGCGCCCGATCTCTTATCTACAAGCCAGCATCCTTCTAGCTAGCCTGGTGCACCGATATGACTTTGAGATGTGGGATTCGAGGTGTAAGCCCAGCAGGCGGGAAACAATGAATCTGATCATGGGTCCGATGCCAGTGAGGATCCAGAAACGCAGCACATAGTCATTCAAATGTGTTATAGGGAGCTGCCCTGCACAGATAGCCTGGCTACTTCTCTGGTGAGGGGGGTTGACTAGGGTTGGCTGCTATCTCAGCTTCTCTCTTAAGCCCCCTCGGGGGGGTTTAGCTAGCTAGATAGTGTAGGGAATCTAATCAGTGCGCTACTATATGGTCCGGATTGGCGAGATGCCTAGCATCTCGCCGTATGATTGGCTTTTAAGCCTTGTGGTTAGACTTTATTACCTGAGTAAGGAGAACTAATTACTAATTTCCAGAGTCACTGGATGATGGCGTACACAATTCGCGCTGAGGCTCTATCTCTAGTCAATGCAACAAATACCGCAAAAACTAGATCTTATTTATAAAGGTCTGCGGTCAAATGGTGGTAGTCTAGCAACGATGCTTATGACAATGTCTTTAGGTAACATCTGAGGAACGATAAGAGTAAGTATCAATTGGATGGCATAATCCTAATTTGTGAGGGACGAGGAGTACACTCTATCCGAGTCTTCGATTCTTGCCATTTCTTCCACCATCTCCTTCGCTATCCTGCGTGTCTTTCGATCCAGAGCAGTGACGAAGCTGATCCACTCAAATCTTTCCTTCCAGAACGCCCACCGTTCCTTTGACCACACTTCGGGTCCTGTCCACTTAGTTGGGAATTCTCTTCCCATTGATCCTTCCATTTCATATATCTCCTTGCCACAATGTCTGATCCACTGCGCTGCGGCGGGTACCCACCCATTGAGCGATCTGATATCAATATCCTCAAGCATGAGATCTCGCTGCTTACAATACTCCTCGTCGTCCTCATCATTGTCAAGGTCCTCGAGCTCTTGTTCGATGTCTTCATGGTGGAACTTCTCCCACGGTGCTTTCTCCAGTGTCTTTCTCAAGACCCAGCCACCGTGACGGAGATGACCGACTTTATTAGTACGGATGCCCCGAGCATAGAGCTTGGCTGCGAAAGAATTGACATTGATCCAACTTTGCCGCTTTTCGTCGCGTTGAGAATCATAAAATGGATGATCGACGTCTACTTTGTTAGTTTGAGGTTGTAGCTGATTTTGCAGAAGACATACAGTCAAAGACAAACTCAGTCATATATTCACTGAGCCCGTCCAGCCGACCAAAAGCTCCGTTGCAGTCAGACAGACCCTTCAGTTCCGCAACAAAGTCCACCAAGCGGTCAATCTGGTTTGTGAATTTACCGATTGCTGCAAAAAGGAGAGGCCATAGTGATGTGTAGTCGGGGTCTGGATTGGACTCCGCGATGAAGCACGACACTGCTTCTCTGGCTGCCGCCGATGGCGGTGTGGAAGGATCCGCCAAAAGTGACTTGATTGCTGAGAGCATGTTCGTAGGTGGGGGGTACTTTTTCTGGCTCTGCGCCGTGATGAAAGCCTCATATTCAGAATCCATAATGTTTAGATTTTGGAAATGCTGGACGGTTATGGTCGGTTGTTCTCACGAAGAAGATTTGAAGGGTGGTTCGTATTAAAAACCTAGGTCTGGGCTGTGATGGGATTCTAGTAATGCCAATCTGTTATCTGCGAGACGAGGCTGAATTTGCTAATTGTTCCTTCAAGGCTTAGCTTTTCAGCCAAGAATAATAGTATGACCAAGTGGAAAGGATGAATGTGAAACAAGAAATCGCCCCCACATTCTCCAACCCCAAAGGCAAGGCAGTGCAGTCTGTGGATCACTTAACGATGATCAACTCTAACAAACAAAGCAGTGCGGCACCGTCTATATTCCAGAGAAATTACTACTTTATTTCACAGAAAGGTCTTAATGGGCTCGAATTGAGATGGAGGCTAGCAGAGTGACGCGCAAAGCGATGCGCAAAGCGAATCTGGGCCAATAGTTGACCTCAAAAAAGGCTCTCTTTTCCCAAAGCACGAATCCATGTATAAAGATTAGGACCGGGTTTTATATGTTCATGTATGTAAATGACATATATAAAAGAACTTCTAGGTATTCTTGCCAGTTTTTAGAGATCAATGCCTGGTCTAAAAACTGTAGTCCGGCGTGTGCTTATTCTTCTGCCACAGGCTCTTGCTTCCCGACACTGTATACGTCTGAATAAGACCGTTGTTTGAAATTGGATCTGCTTCCTTTTTGCTTAGCCCCAGGGCTGAAACCTTGACTGTGGGTTCCTGCTATTCCGCCCCTTTTGCCTGAACGCTTGGATCTTCATACCAAAAGCATCATGATAATGGCTTCCGACAGGTATAAAGGAATCTCGAAAACCTGCCAGAGCTTCAGTTTATCAACTTACCTCTACAGGGCTCCCCAGCAAGATCTCAGTCTCTAAAGAAATCATTGCGGAAAACTTGTTTTTATAACTCCAAGATGCCGTCGCTCTTCCATTCTCTGGCTCTCAATGCTCTCCTGGCTGGCGCTCTTGTGGCCCAGGTCACCTATAGCAGATCTAATAACTAATAATCTTATAATCTAGCTAACTCTATTAAAATAGTTAATATTCCTAAAACCTACTAAATATACTATAGCTCTAAGGAGTACTATAAGTATATCTAGTTTAAGATTACCTAGTATAAGTAGAGTTGCATAACCGACCCGCAAAAATCGAATCCAACCCTCACCGAACTCGCAGCGGTGCGGGTTCGGGGGTAAGCCTAGGGAACTGCTTTGGGTTCGGTTAGGCTACCTCAGACCCGATCCRGGTTAGGTGAAAACCGTCGGTTACRGTTTCTGCGGTTTTTCGAGTTGGGTTTAACCAACCYGCACCATTTTACCTAGAAATCATTAAATTCTAAATATYCTTAAATAATATTAATATCACTAGATAGCCTAAATTAAGGGCTATCTAGTGATATAAATATCATTTAAAAATACCTAGTGGTTGCTGAGATATAAGGGAATAATCATTTCTGTTATAGGTTGGTATAAAAGTAGTATAGAGATATATATATATGGGCACCAAGGTCCGATAACTACTATATACTTTAAATAATTTTTAACCACCACCCATTCAACCCTATAGATATTGAATCAATATTTCTAATATGGATTAGAATGATTATAATTACTATATATTTCATATAAAAATTATGAATTTATATAAGCATGCTTGGTAAGGGGCCTTAGATAGGGCCCCTGGGGGGAATGGTAAGGGTTAAAATGGTCAAAATTAGCAGTTTAACCAACCCAAAACCGAACCGAATCTAACCATGGTTAGTTAGTATAGGCCTAGCTATACCTAGGTAGGCCTAGCGGCGGGTTTTTGCGGTTAAACCGCAACCAAATCGCATCGGGTTTGATTTGGTTTTGAGTTCTAAAATTTGGACCTGAAACTGCAGTGGTTCGGGTCCAACTAAGGTTGAACTCGCCTGAACTTACACCAAATGCAACTCTAAGTATAAGGCTAGTAAGGCCTCCCTATTAATCTAGGGTAAGCATTATAATAAGTACAACTCACAAGTAGAGTAGAGTTATAGAAGTTAGACTAAGCCTATCAACCCTATCTTCTATAAGAAGGCTAAGACTACTAAGAAGATTATCTAGTATCTTAAGTATACTACCTATATAATTACTTAATCTTATAATAGTAGTATAGTACTTAGTTATATTATCATATAGTTATCTAAAAGACTAAAAGTATTAAAGATATTCCTATTATAATTATTTCTTTCCTAATCCAACTGTAGTTAGATTTAGTATCTTATAATACTACTTAGTTATATACTATTTAGTTGTACACTGCTTAGTTATATTATTCTTAGTGATATTAAAACTATATAGGTGTATAAAATGTAGTCCTTAATCTAACTATAGTTAGATTAGAGTTGCATAACCGAACCGCTAAAATCGAATCCAACCCTCCAAACTCGCAGCGGTGAGGGTTCGGTTCCTAGCCCAGGGAATCGCTTCAGTTTCGGTTTAGGTAGGGTGAAACCAACTCGAGTTCGGTTAAAACCGTCGGTTACGGTTTTTAAGGATTTATTAGATCAGGTTCACCGAACCTAGAGTTGCATAACTGAACCGCTAAAATCGAATCCAACCCTCATCGAACTCGCAGCGGTGAGGCTTCGGTCCCTAGCCTAGGGAATCACTTCGGTTTCGGTTTAGGTAGGGCGAAACCAAGTCGAGTTCGGTTAAAACCGTCGGTTACGGTTTTTGAGGATTTATCGGATCAGGACATGAGGTATTGAGAAGGAGAAAGATTGCTGACGTCCCTATGTAGAGAATGGAGAGGGTCGACAGAGCCATTGACGTGAGACTGTGACATGCTTTTTAAGGGGAGAAAACCGCGCTGGGAAACTCCCTGACTCGAAGAGGTTCTCTTAAAGATGAGCATGGCTCGACCAGAACCTCACTCATGAATTGAAGATTTGTTCTGCGCTTTTCTGGGTATTAGGATTTTTAACGCGTCAGATTGTTGCGCGCCTAATCAGGAGAGTCGAAGGTAAGTTCTCAGAGGTTCTGCCAGCCAGCAGACGGCCCTACCGATAATCCAAGGGCTATCTGCCTCGGTTAGATAGCTTCATAGCATCTCTCCCTTTTCTAGATATCTACAAATCCACGCAGCTTCATCTTTCAGTTCCCTTAAGATAAGCCATGACTACTTTATTCACAGGGCCTTCGGGGGTATAAACTTTGAGTCTGGATGCTCATGAAATTGAATGAAGAAGTAAAACATGTTATGGTTCATGTCATATGTCGTAATTGATGCGCTCACTATGTGTTGGTAGAATATAGTTCATAGCTTATAGCTCCCCGTCCAACAGAAGCTGCAGTCTACTTGGGCAAAAAGGAGGCACAACACCCTTTTGTCTGGTGCTTGGCTTTCCTGCCAATAATTCAAGCACACCTAACTGAGAGAGAGACCTCTTCGGATCCTTCACCAATTCGACTCTTCGTACAATCATGTAAGTAGGAGCAACTTCTAACTAATGTTGGATAAGATGACCTGCTGGAATGTTTAATAATTAATCTTGCTAAAAGGGAATAGGCAGTGACCAGCCGTCCATGGGTATGGAATCTACTTATTCTGACTACTTATGTGACAAGACTGTTCTCATGGCCATGTGGCCAAAGTAAACAACAGAGAGATTAGAATAAGCTAGCAAGCAAACATAGTAGATTATCGGTGCCAGAGCAAGAGGACCCATATTCTAGCACCTAATATATGCTCGACAGAGGTCCGCCTTACAGCCCAATCATGACTGACAAAAGCAATCCAGACACTAAGAGAGTACCCCAGCTCCAGGTCGCCGTATAAGACCCATTATTTGATGAACCTTCCGCGCAACCAAATGACGATAGTTGCAGCGAGGTGGAAAGACATTGATATACTTGCTGCTGCTGAGATTGAGTTGTGGAGTTGCAATAGGCGTAGCAATCCTCCTGGTCGCTAGGGTAATACCCGACTTGACCGCTCACGCAACATTCTTTTAGCACGTCGTAGGGCGTTTGGGTGGCATTCGTTTTTTCAAATAGCGAAAGGCCGCAACTCTTCGGATAGGGCAATTCCGGCATAGAGTCGTTGTGATTCGCACAACGAGCTGGACCGGATCTGGCGAAGAAATCCATTGTGTAATGCTCTCTTTCTGTGGAATAGATGAAATTCTGAAAGAAAAAAAATAGATAAGAGCCTAGAAAAGTCTATGCCGACAAGAGAGTAAAAGGGAAATAAAGCCCCTAGGACTGATATTGGTGAGGGATGGAAGTTCTCAGAGCTTGCTAGGAATGAGAGCCCAGTGACTGCTTTAATAATTGAAAAGGCAGATGTCAAGGCTGTGGGAGATGCAGCAAAACGTATCCCTGCTGAGGATGGTTGGGAAAGAAGAAAGGAAGAGCAATGGGATCAGACAGCACCAGATTTTTAAAGGACCCATGCCGCTCCATTTTTATTGGGCCTCTTTCAGCGGTAAATCTTGTCTATGGTGTTTAGTGCATGGTCGCTTGCTAGACAACAATAATGCGACGACAAATGCGACAACACTTAGTGGAACGGTGGAAGATCCGCAATGAGCTTAGCCATGCCAAGTGTAATCGAGCTAATTCTACAACTGACCCCTTTTGTAGATTTGGTACTCGGATCCTGGCTGAGCATGGGTTCCCAATGTAACCCAAGGTGAATCTGCGAAGTTCAGCCTAAATACAACATATGACCTAGGCTTTAGTCTAAGCTTCAGGGGACTAGCCTAGCGGCAACACTAACCCACAAAGGGCGAAGTGTCCCTGTTAGGATAAAAGTTTAGTCTAGAGCTATCCCTGCAGCTTGTGTCTGAGGTCGGCCAGTTTTCTAGTAACACGAGGTACACTCTATTAGGTAGACGTCCGAGTAGCCACAACCTTCGGCTCCGCTCGAGCTATGTGTCCTAAGCCTTCGTCTAGGCAGCTCAGTTTTAAAACCCTGAAATAATGCCAATCAAATTTTGATCTAAGTAATAACCACATAGCGGAGCAATGTTGCATTGTTAACTAAGCGAACCATATCACTGCACATGGGCTTCCTCTTTATGTTGGCCACGCGCTAACTAGTCATATAGAACATATATATATATTAACACACAGCCTCACAGGTCATGTTATGTTTGGAGTGCACTGAGGCAATTTAGCCGGGTTGCACTATTCTGTCTCAGCGGTATAGAACGTCCGCGGGCTCTGTCCGCTGGGCCTCTCGAGACGTGGATATTAAGTGTCCATGTCTTGGGTGAGAAGCCAATCAGCGAACGGATATAAAACACGTCCCAAAGAGAATATAGTCGTATTTCAATATTTCACATAGGGTTTCGGACAACTCGAACGGGGTCTCCGGCGCTAATGTACCAGCCCAAGGAAGACAAACCTGGTCAAAGGATGAATGTTCCATGTTCAGGGTGAGAAGCTGAGTTAGTCCTGCAGTAGCCAAAGGACCTATACAGTAGCGCTACCGCCGATGTCACCTTGCTTGACAGGAGAGCTCTCCCTGGAGCATAAATTGGACTCTAGCTCAGAATCTACGCTGGATTCACCCATAAGCAGAAATGGGAGTCATCCCGTTTGGTCTCTGCTCTGCCGGGCAACAAATATATAAATTGGGCTTCTGAGCCGCTGCCAACTCAAGTCAGAACAGAGAAGGAAGTTCTACTCTTCCAAGGAATCTTAACGCATCGCGGGAAACGACTTTCCTTTCAAGATGATCATTTCTGTGCCTATATCGACCGTCTTGGCTTTCCTGCCAGCAGTTTTGGGTATTCCAACCTTGAACACACGACAGGATACCAAGGCTGTGGAGATTGAGGTCGAGCTTGTTGGTGATACTTCCAAAGTCAGTATCGCCGTCATCGATCAGGAAACGTCTGAGGTCCTGGGCCGGTCCTGCTCCAGCACTCTGAACTCTGGTGGCTTTGCCAACTTCCCCATCGCTACCAATCTCGACATTTATGGCGGCGGCAAAATCACCGTCGGCCCTACTGTGTACGAAGTGCACGAAAATCCCGAGTTTTCTGGTGGCATCACTTGTTCCAGGATCTACAACGATGCTGGCGCTTTCGTGACCTGCACTGCCTCCATACCCGTTTCCCTTCAGGCCACCGCGCTGGGTAAAAGCAGTCTCCCGGGCTGTTTCGCCAAGGGCGCTACCAGCAACCTGAAGAGAGCGTCCAAGTCCATTCGCACTGCCAATTCCTCACCTGAGCCAGCAATAGCGCCGCTCAACGAAACCGTCCAGCAGGCGAATCATTCCCTCCATGCTCGGCAGTATGAATGCTCTCAATGGAATTATTATACTAGAAATGTTGGAGATGGAAACCCGCACCAAAACTACTGGGACAAGCAACTCAGCGTAAGTGCCCACCTCCTCTTGAGTGTTTATCAGGAGGGCTAATAAACGAGGACTAGGAAAACATAAACTGTGGTGCTTCACCATCATGCAGTGTTGGGCATGAGCAAAGCTCATCTTTTTCAGTCGAATGGTCCGCTAGTGCAGCTGCGTTTGAATGGATTTCCGGCGGGTTTGCTGTGCAAGAAGAGTGGACGACTGGCAATGAGTACACTTGCTTCGGAAACCAAGGTGACACAGTTTGTGTCTGGTACAACACCGCCCACACTGCCTATACGGTCCAGAATTGGGAGGAAAATGTGTGCACCTCTCCCACTCAGTCAGGCGATCCCTACGTCATGTTCTCACCAAACCAGAACAATGCTGGAGGCGGCTACTACTGTGTCGTGGGGACTTGCCGCAGTGAGGGGCAGGGATACTGGGACAAGAGTGGCCCTGCTGGCGGCCCGCCCTAGATTGGGCTATATATCAGCAGTACCAGATACGTCGTCTCAAGGTCACTTGCCTGAAGGCCTCTATCTGAGTATCATCATTCTCTGAGGCCATCTGCCACCTACATCTATCCGTGGATAGATGCTTGTCTTTGTTTATAATTGTATGCAATGTCTCAATGCCAGACAGCGACTTCCAAGGTTTCCTTTGGTAGGTCGTCTAGCTGCTCTATATCCTGGTTCTTCTTGAGCTCTCCAGATAGGCCTTATCACTCAAGAATTATAAGGGTACTTTCTTCCAAAAACATGGTATGATTCGACATATTAGGTGTAGTGTCAACTCTGCACCGCTGGCAACCTGATCGGTCACCCTGCTCTAAGGCCCTAGAAAGCAGATGGCTATAGGTAACAAAATCAGAAACCCATTCTACATTTACTCTGAGGAGATTAAGAACAGAGTGCTTTGTTCTAGGTAACTTTTCATCATCATCGTCATCATCATCATTACTTGCAACATCATTATCCTCACTATTGCCAGTGGGTATTACTATATCTTCAAGCTCATCACTTTCTTAGAAATATCCGCGAGCAGCTATTTATTAATTAGCAGGGAAAGGATCAGCTCAATAATAAAGTGCTTGTGATAGTCATATCTTTATATTGCTGGGTTACCATGATTGCTTCATCCTTCCACATTTGAAGATGAAGCTGACATATGCAAGAGTGTGTAGCCGTATTCAAATGGTGCCGCCACAATGTATAGAGAATTTAACATCAAAAGTCTCTAGGCATGCCACTCCAGGGAGTTTGGATATGCTTGAAAGGGTTTCCTCAGCCCAAAGTTGCCAATGGGGAAGTTTACGTAGCTCAATTCTCTGGGTACGGTGAAGTAACTCCAGATTTAACTACCTAAATCTTACCTGGAGGGGAGATAACTATTATTGAATTATAATACCACTAGGCCAAAAAGGCGTCCGGACATGGTCCTCATCAGTCTAGGGTCTCATATCCATAGTCATAGTGGTATTATATTTTAACAACTATAGAGCGGAAAGTACCGGATCACTTTCTATTTATATCCGACATTTTCCGATGATGACTCCCCGCGACAAACAACACTCGTTCGTTTTCAGCAACCAGGCAGCGCACCCTGACGAACTTCAACCAGCGCTTGCACAATGTCTTCAAAACCCAAGACAAAAGTGGCTTGCAAGTCTTGTAATCTCCGCCGAGTCAAATGCGATCGGACCGAGGACAGAGCGTGTTTCAACTGTCGAGTGGCCGGACGGGAATGCCAGCCGATCGTCTCACGACGTGGAAAGTACTAACACCCTTGTCAAGCTGGTTATGATCTGAGATACTAAATTTATCTAGATACAAGCGTTCCAATATTAGAAGCCATCGGGGTGGATCAGCTCGTCGAGCAGCTGTTCAATCTCAAGATGGGAGTCGCGGTAGTCCAGGAACGCAACCTCCAATAGCTCAAGACAGCGCCGGTCCAAATGCTATACAGCTTGAGACGGCTGGAGTCGAACATTATGGAACTGGTCAACCGTGCAGCCCGGGCTTTATCAACAGGGCCAGTGACCCAGGTCGCGGCAAGGAGATGGTATACTACGGAGACTCCTTCAATCTCAACTACGTCCTACGCGAGATGGTGAATCCGTTCCAGGACGATTTTGACAGCTCGTCCTTGAAACTTGGCATTGAGGAGTTGTATTTGAACCACTTGGGACAGTCGACGAAGGATCAGCTCGACGCTCATGAACGCAGCGAGCGCATCCGCTTACAAGAAATGGGCGCATTCCAGCATCTCGACAAAGAGATAAGCGACGCACTTATCCAGTCGTTCTTCGCTGTAGTGTATCCACTCTGCCCTATCTTCGATCTGTCAGAGTTTGATACCAAGTACAACGCAGGGGAGATCTCCCCGCTTGTATTGCAGGCGCTGTATTTTGTCGCGGCGGCTCACTGCGAGTTGTCATTGATCGAAAAAGCGGGATTCTCCAGTCGCTATATAGCCACCTTCACATTCTATCAAAGAGCAAAGGCATTGTACGATGCGAACTATGAATCGGACGCTATTGCTACTGTCCAGGCCTTGTACCTTCTCTCCTATTGGTGGGGTAGCCCTTTGGAGCAAAAGGATATGTGGCACTGGACTGGGCTTGCTGTTGGCCTTGCACAAACTCTCGGTTTGCACCAGAGGTTAGTTGATATCGCTATTTTGTCTGGATTTGCGGAGACTGATTGTTCAATGAAGCAAGGCATATGAAGGTTTGCCGGAAAGGCAACAGAAGTTGTGGAAACGTATCTGGTGGACCGTCTATGTATGTGTGGACACGACCGACAAAACCCAACTGACCGAACGATAGAGTCATGATATCCTTATAGCCCTTACGTTGGGCAACACTCCGCACGTCAATGAGGCATATTGTAGCGTGACCTTGTTGTCCGAGGCAGATATTGAAGACGATGAGGACGACTTGCAGGATACGTATCTGTTTAGAAGTTACACTCAAGGAAGTCGCCTGTACATCGTTTATCTTGTGGACTTGACCAAGCGAGGTATATATCCCACGATCGCTCACAAACAATGCTAACTGCTCCCAGTCAGTCAGTGTCTCGAGGCCCTCTTCGGTGCCTGCTCGGATGAGTCCAGAATACAAACCAGTCTTGACAGAATCTCATCTTGGCAAACGACCCTTCCCCAAGTCCTACAGCGGAACAACTCAACAATTTCTTTGCAGGATGGCTATTGGGAGTCTCTGATCCACCTGATCTACAAGTACAGTCATCCACAATTAGTTAGATGAATGATAGCTGACAAAGAGTGGCAGTACATGCCAAATTCTTCTACATAGGAACGGCTTCCATAACCCAGACCGGCTGAAGATGGGGTCTCTGCCTTMTGATGCTGCTGTCAATATTGTGCGGATCCTCGAGGACATGATGTCCTCTGAGGTTCTTACCGTGTCGTGCCCCCGAACGTATGCTGCTCATCTCTACAGACCCAATCAGCAATGAGGCTGACAGACAACAGGCTACCGGCTATATTTGCCTCCCTAAGTGTCCAAATTGCGAATATTAGTGGAAACTCAGCGGATGGAACCAAAATTGCAAAGCATAGAGCGCGCTTCTGCATGCTTGCCCTGAAAACAATGCAAGATCGTTGGACTCCGATCCTGTGGTACTATCCTATGTTCTTGAAAATACTGCACAAAATGGGATGTGAAGTTCCAGATGGCGAGAAATACAGCAGTCATTCATCCCACGATCATTCCTCTGGAGCCTCAAGCACCACTGAGCTTCTTCCTGGTACTCTGTGGCGACAGCCGCAACGCAACCAGGTTTCCGAGATTCCTAGCGGGTCTTTCATGGGCCAAATCGCGACAGAGGAGGCCGAATACAGTGCAATGATGGAGTGTTTTCCATTCTCGAGCTTCTTGACTGACAGTATTTCTGGACAATCCGACAACCCGTTTGACCAGGAGGGCAATGCTTAACCATACCCCTTATCTCCGATACCACATCCTCGTCACCTTTGTACGACTGATCTTCCTCTTCAGCTGGAGAATACCATATAGAAGCGCCTCCGGCGTCGGCGGACAACCTGGCACATAGATATCCACCGGGACCAATCGATCCACACCGCGGACAACACTATACGAGTGATGATAATACCCACCCCCGTTCGCACAACTTCCCATACTGATCACCCACTTCGGATCGGGCATCTGGTCGTACAGCTGACGCAGCGCCGGCGCCATCTTGTTGGTCACAGTTCCAGCGACAATCATGACATCCGATTGACGGGGCGAGGCACGGAAGATGATTCCCTGTCGGTCTTGGTCATATCGTGGCATCGAGGCGGCCATCATCTCGACGCCGCAGCAAGCGAGGCCGAAGGAGAGGGGCCAGAAGGAGCCTTGGCGGGCCCAGTTGATGAGGGAGTCGGTTGTTGTTCTGAGTAGGTTAGTACGTTGCGGGCGGATGGAGGATATAGACTGACAGTATATGGTGTAGCTTGCCGGCATTTTCATCTTTGCTCTGGTTGAACGAAGTTGGAAGCGAGGGGTTGGTTACTGTGTGCTTTTGCCAGTTGGAGGATGCTCGCAGCTGGAATGATAGCACCTTTGCTCTCGAACGAGTATCGACCGCTTGAGTATTTCCATATCGCCCAGATATATCAGGCTTGGAGCACAATGGTCGGAGAGATGTATATAATCGAGCTCGCATCTTTTTGTCAACGGATATCAGTGTGATGTAGTTAATAAATCCCCCATCCAAGGACAAAGATCATGGAAAATATGCCAGCTATAAAAAGGGGCAGCGCAATATAAAACCAAGTATAATATCGCCGATATGGCTGTCATTCAGCTAGATCCCAAGTCGGCGATATGAAGTCTTGGCGCAGGCATATCGCCGAATTGAAACTTCCATCGCAAACAGATAGATATGAATCCTCAACACTAGAGCCAATAACTGCAATAGCTGTAAGGATAGTACCTTATTGAGGGAGAGCCTTGTTTGCAAGAAGTCAACTGAATAGGTGTTATATGCGCAGTCATCAGATCAAAAGTACCCTCGGCGTTGGCAATGCTTCAAGTTAGCAGTAGCTTTCTACAACCAGCCTATATAGAGAGGGATAAGATGGTCCGTGTTCTTTTAGATAGCGCATCCAGAGAAACTGAAATTATTAAGTCAACAATAGCCTGAGCGATTAGTGCAGATCTATTAGCTTACGGTGTGACAAGCACGGAGATATCTATAATTGTACAATTTAAGCTTCTAACAGTTAAGGATTGTTTTTTCCTAGGCAAATAAAATTACTACATTAACAGACTTGATCTCACACTAACTGCTGGCAGAACACTTGAACTAAGTGCTCGTGAGAATCACATCCAGGGGGAGTGTACAAGGACACAATGAAGAATTAGAATTTGGCAGACCTGCTGACCATTAACACCGAGAAGCAAAAGTTCGGCCAAAACCTGCTCCCGCCGCGTCTCAGGAGAGAGGGACTCCCAACAGATACGTAGTTAAGTTTAGATTCCCCGACTTCTTAAAGGATATAGCTAGGTCAGCCACGCACAGCAGGTTAGGTATACGCGATCTCCTGCCAAGTTAACATGAGTTTTCTCACCGTTACCTAGTTTCAGGTCGGTTTCGCGAACCATCGGTCTTCTCCTTCATCCAAGAGGAGAATCAACATCCGGATTATGATACTGGGAAATATTATCTTGCTGGTATTGGAGAGACTATGTCCGGGCGATATCGTATTATCTCGACGCCCGGTCGGGGCACTAATTCTACAGTTTGGTTGGCAAAAGACACAACTCTGTTAGTTTTGGCCCTTCCATGCATGTTTAATAACACTGTGAAGTTAATATGTGACCTTGAAATTATAAACTGTGGCAAGCAAGAACAAAGATCTGCCAATGAAAAGTTGGAAATGTCGCGACACATCTCTCAGCTGCAGTCTAGTCAAGTCGCGTGGTGACAACCAATAGTGCGTTACAGCAAGATAACTGCAGTGGAGCAATAGACGGATCAATCATTGAAAAGAACCCTGCAGACGAAGCCCCAGAACCCTGAAAAAAGGGGAGAAGCCAGTCCGAAGCAGGCAAGCTACATAGAAGCAAAACCTGTTTCAGCGCTAAGCATATCTTAATTGTTTCACAGCCCCACAGCCCTAAGGCACCAGCCGTAAAAGACATGTAGGACGCATGATATGGCCCTTAATTATATGACCTCTGTATGTATTCCTGTACTCCGAACAGGAGCCAATTGGCTGTCGCGCCAGAGCATCACAGTCGCAAAGCAACGGCATCATCGGTGTTGGTAGTTGATACGCGGGGGATTTCCGAGGCGTTCCCTAAGTATTACATGGTGAGCCATTGGCGCAGTTTCGGACAAGCTAGCCGCTCCTGAAGAATAGTAGTAACTGCACAGAAACGAAGGTGTCCGCGGCTCCCGTCGGCCACCAATCTTCCGGCTCGGACCACTAGCTCGCCTTCTTGGATCTTCCCCATACATGCCTATCTTCATACAATTATAAACTCCCAGATCCGGGGCGATTGAGATTCCCACAGCGCTCCTTTCCCCCGCCCCCCAACGGTTATTTCTCTTTCAGCCTCCTCGGAGGGTTTCCTGGTATACACGCGGCCTTTGCGCAGCTTTTGTTGCTGTGGTGTTGCTCCAATACTTGCTCTTTGTGACAGACATCTCACCCGTTCTCGACCAAACATGGCGCCGAGGAAGGATTTCAAGGCTAAGGCCCCGATACAGCCAGTTCCGGAAAAACGGGGGTATGAGTTTGGTGGCCCGTATGTTGTCTAAAGTATCGCATACTTGAAACCCAGAACTGACTCTCGACAGTCTCGGCGCGTTTGTATTCATTTTCGGCCTCTCAACTCTTATCTACAGCCTCACCTTCCTGTGTAACGATGTGTCCGGCTGTCCTGCTCCGTCGCTGCTGAATCCCTCGACGTTGTCCCTGGACAAGTTAAAGGAGGAGGTTGGTTGGCCACAAGCAGGCCTCAAAGCATTCTTTGACATTCGGGTGACCCTGTGGGTACTGAGTTATTACCTACTCAGTCTGGTTCTGTACGTGTTTCTACCAGGTGAGGTGGTCGAGGGCACGGAACTGGCCTGCAAGGGAAGGCTTCGCTACAAGTTCAATGGTATGAAACCTGGAACTTTTTTCTATATGGCATTGACTGATGGAATTATAGCCTTTTCTTCTGCCGTTTTGATCCTCGGTGGTTTAGCTTTGGGCACATACGTGTACGGTGCTGACTTCATCATATGGACTTTTCTCTGGGATAACTACGTGCAGGTCATCACGGCAAACTTAATGATTTGCATGGCCCTCGCTGTCTTTGTTTATGTGAAAAGTTTCTCCGTCCCTGCACCTGGTCAACCCAACCCCGAGCTGAGAGAATTGGCACCAGGGGGTCACACTGGGAATGCTCTGTATGACTTCTTCATTGGCCGGGAGCTTAATCCTCGGCTGCAGTTGCCCATTCCCTTTGTTGATGAGGCCTCACGAACGATCGATATCAATGTATGGTGCGAAATGAGGCCAGGTCTGCTTGGGTGGATCATATTGAATTTGTCCAACATTGCCCGCCAATACAGGACGTATGGCTACATTACCAACTCCATCGTCCTCAGTACCGTATTCCAAACCTTCTATGTTCTGGATGGGCTGTATATGGAGCCGGCCGTGCTAACCACAATGGATGTGATTATGGATGGATTCGGTTACATGCTCTGTTTTGGACACCTGGTATGGGTACCATTCATCTACAATATCCAAACCAGGTACCTTGCGGTTTTCCCCTTGGAATTGAGCTTGAAGGGCATTCTTCTGATCTTGACTGTTACCGGCGCGGGGTACATGATCTTCCGCGGTGCCAACAATCAGAAGAACCGTTTCCGCAGGGACCCAAACGATCCACGCGTGAAGCATATCAAATACATCCAGACGTCTAGTGGCTCTAAGCTAATGATTTCTGGCTGGTGGGGACTGGCGCGCCATTTCAATTACTTGGGCGATTGGCTGATGTCTTGGTCATATTCATTGCCCACCGGCGTTGCTGGCTACACCATAGTTGAAAGTATCAATAGCAGTGGCGACGTGCAGAAGCAGGCCATTCAGACTCCCGAAGTACGCGGGTGGGGAATGATTTTCACCTACTTCTTCCTGCTTTATTTCGGTCTCCTGCTTATTCACCGGGAGGGGCGTGATGAAGAAAAGTGCAAGAGGAAATATGGCGCTGACTGGGAGCGCTATACGTCTATTGTTCGCAGCCGTATCATTCCTGGTGTCTACTAGCGTTTCAGGCCAATGATGCTGTGCTGCGGCGAATCTGTATATATACCTTGGTACAGACGAGCTCGAGAATCCAGGGTTAGTCTTAGGTTTACTATATCATGATAAAGTTTGTTAGAACAAGTCACCTAGGGACAACTGCATAGCGTACCGGTCTGCACAGTACGTATCCCACCCTGCATCTCTTCAATTGCCAGGCCGGTATTGGGGCAAGTATGCCAGCTTCACCCAACTTCTGAATAGAACACATTTGTCCTAATTTCTCACTGCGAATAGTTTTCTGGAAAATCCCGCTGGGAGCTGGAACTCCCTTTGTTGGTAATACTGTACTGGGAAAGATGAAGTGATCCAAATCCTCCAGCAAACAAGGTTAGATCTTGAATCAAATGATATACAGAATGGCGATATCTGCAGATTTTCATGCTATTGACCAACCCCGCCTAACATATCCCCCTAATAAAAAGAAGCTGAGAAATGAAGCGAAGACACGTTTAATCAATCTACTGACAGTCGACGGCTATACCGAGTGTCAACAACAGGACTCGGTGACGCGGAAACTCTATGGAAGCCATGGGTAGCATGCGGCCATTGGCTCTCCCCATGGGTAATCTTCTTCAGTCCATAGTCGAAATTCAGGATGCATTGGAACGCAAATCCCAGGGTCAATACAGTAAGACCAACGAGACATAAGCGAATAGCAGCATCATACCATTGCTGACATTTGCATGTAGTGAGTCTCTGGTGAGCAAAATGATCCGGCTGAGCAGATATGTGATTAACACGAGGAAACAGAGCTGATTTCCGTCAGTGACTAGTCTTAGAGACGAATATGGGAGGCTCACAATGATAAAACCCATGGCGATTTTAAGTTCCGCTGGCCGTATGTATATCCAGATACCCCTGGAGATGTCTACGAGGTGATTACCCATCCCGTCAGTAGAACCTCGCAAAGAAATGATGGCCCCTTCTATTTTAGCGTGTTGCAACACGGCATATACGACAACGCAGATGTCGCTGGCACATATGGCGAGGAGGGATATGTTGTTCTTGTGGTGAATTGCATCCAGAGAGAGAATTACTTCATAAATGCATGCAAAAGGCATGATGCCTATGCCAATAGGAACAATATAGGAGGCGGGAACTTGCGTTACATTGGGTTTGACCCAAGATTGCCACTGCACAGGAATGTATCTATTGCATGTGAGAATGGAATTGCTGGGTACCACACCAGCACTTACCTTCAAGAATAGCAATAAGTAATGCTTGTATTAAAAGAGTACCACAGAACCACCACTCATTCCTGCTGAGCCTATACATCTTCTTGCAATATGAGTGCAATCACTAGACGCAGAAAGAATAGAGAGGATATAAAGTTGGTGATCAATAAAGTTGATAACTAATCTTTATCTGCTAGGCTAAGCAACTCAAACCTTTCAGGCTGAAGTGCTAGGCAGCATCAGCTTATTTTAGGACGCCGCCACCCAAAACATAGTTAGTTAGTGTGTTGACTAGACACTAGTTAACTGACCCTTTAATCTGGTGAACTAACTAAAGTAACTATAGAGTAACTAGTGAATTTGATAACTGGACAACAAGGGAGCTAGTCAACTAGTCAGACCTAACAACTTTGCAGCTGAGAGATTCCCTAAGTCATAGTAATTTACTGTCTAAGTATGTTGTCACACAGCTTATTCCCATTGTAGTAAGTGAACTGCCTTCACAAAGAGGAGTTGACTGCAGTCGTCATCTGCAACCTGTCTGGCTTCTCAGCTTCCCTCCTCCCACTAAAAGCGTACCTTTACAATAGAAGCTTCAAGAACAGGGGCTTCCTTCCTTCAATGGCAACTTACACTCTGAGGGGCTTTAACCTGAATGCCGACGCCAAACATCTCACTCACTGCAAGAGTGTTCCGCCTAAACTTCCTGTTTAAGATTAGTGGCCAGCGCATTGAGCTTCTCCCGTATCAACGAGCCTCATTCTTTCTAGATACCACTGTAGGAATATCGTCCTCTATGGCTCTGTATTCTCCTGTCTCTCCTTTTGTGCCATCGCTGCTCACGGATGTACCCTCCTTCCCCACCCCAGCTGTTTGAAGCTCATTTAGATCCCGGTCCTTATCATGTCGTTGGCTGGTGGATCCCCACCAGGCCCACTATCCTCGTTTTAGGGCTCGAGGCTGCGTTTCCACTTCATCCTGTGCTGAAAAGGATCTCTGTGATTGCTCTGAATTAGCCTCGCCTCCGCTGGAGGAGGAAAGAGGGGCGATCTTAACCCTTTTCTTCCATTGTCCACAGGTTTCGTCCAATCCGTCGCTGGAAAATGTGTCATCTGAACCAAACATCGACATCCTCAGGGTCGTGGGGCCTAACCTGACGGGCGGCAACAATTCCAGCATCTAGCCGGAAGTATAGAGCTATCACTTCGCTCCAAAGCTTACGGCTACTAGACATCTTAATAGACAAATCAGCCTCCTGCTTAGCCTAAATACTATACAATTGACGGGGAGACAACTCATTCAAGCCCTTGGCATGCTTAACAAACCGACACTCCTTGCTAAGTCTCATAATTAGTCAGCCACTGCGCGCTAACTAAACTAATAGTATTTAGCAGAGTTATAAGAATGTGAAACAGTGAGGGACTTGTTGTTAGAGCTAGTGTCAAAAAATAATGTTACTAATAGGTATGCCTTCAGTGAAAGGATTGTCACTGACCTCAAAGAGGTCAGTAAAGAAGTATACATATACAGATGATATATACAACGGATGTTTCAGGAATTCTTACTGGTGTGCATCAGGAATGATGCTCTAATCCTTTCAATCTAGCTAAGCTAGTATATATAACGGGAAAACCGACCTCGGTATGGAGAGTATAAGGCTTACCTAAATTTCTGGGATTCCCCAGGTTAGAAACGGTGGTAGGTTCAAGCGATCTCATTGGTCGAACCAGGATTCAGCAGATGGTATCGTTAGGTTCAGTATAGTTAACAATATGCCCGTAGGAGCATTAATATCGGGATACAGTTCTGAAAACTGAATATGACGAGGTGAAAACCCATAATATCATAGAGCTCAGAGTCCTGAAGCCCGGTAGGTGAGCACTTATGTCACGTCTTAGATCTCTACTCTGTTCCACACTAGTCCTACACTGCCCTTATTTCAGGGACCGCTTGGATTGCCTGCTTTTCATCCCACTATATGGCCATTTCTCCTCCATGTGAACAAACTCGGACCACAAGCATTTCCTCCAATATCCCTACCCGAAGGCGCATATACTGTATTGAATCTCAGTTTGCACAGTGCCCTCAGGCCGACCTTGACCTACATACGCGACCAAGGCGTGAAATTTAAGTCTATTGAGCGGGTATGATTGGACAGAAGAGCTCATAAATAGAGCGAACGAGGTAGGCCAATTGATTAATTTAAGACTCCTCTACTTATGCTAACCGAGACAAGAATCAAGCTCTGCAAATTGGACATCGGACGGTTTGGGCAACCCAACGGATAATAATCCTTCAGATGGTTCAGGGTGCTAGTTCATCTTTTCCGGGCCGCACAATCGCATCTAGTACCAAGCGAAGAGGACACAGCTGCACTACCTCTTCCGTTAAGGCTACCCTCCCAACAACTGCGATGGGTCGATCGGAGGGGCTCCGGTCGCGGTGGCTTAGAAAGTTAAGGTAAAAACCTGGAATTGCCCGCGCTCATGGGATGCAAGTACAGTGTGTCTCGCATAAAAAGAATTCTCAGGGCGTCTGGGTCTGGATGTCGAAAAAGCAAAGGCTGCCAGAGATGAGTGTGTCACAATCACATCTATCTCCAAACATCTTCCTCTGATTCGCCAAGGCCCAGTCGAACGATGCATCTACCAAGCGACACCGTCCGACCCATACAACACTCGGATAAATCCACCCTCGAGGCTCTGTTGTACTCCCCCAAACTCCCCCTCACCATAAACTGCCTATTATTGAAAGAACGGCAAAAGGGAGCAACCCAAAGAAAGAACTACGCCAGCGTCTACAATAAATTACATACCACCAAGAGCTAGTTGTTGTCCGTCTGCGACAACATAACCGGTGAAATCACCGGGCTTCTCGCGCTGAATCAGAAGCAACCAGCCTTGTCTCTCCCCTCCCCTGACAAAAAATCAGCAAACAAACATAGTGAGCCCGAGCCCTCCGCCTTCTTTAATCCTGAAGTTTTGTGTGCAGATCTCGAAGCTCTGAAGCCACAGTCGTCAAGGCGGGCAACATGCGTAAGCTATCTTATATTTAGAGACGACACCAATGATTTTATCGATCAACATGTTTACTTGTGGCAACCCTGGGATCTCTGGTCCATCTTTTGGTGTGGGGCGGCCGCTGGCGACGAGTAGTTGATGAGTTGACCTCTCTAATTCAGGACCGCTCCTAGTGCTGGCATAATATTTAAAGGCACAATGATTGGCTATTACCGTTCTGATCTTTGTATGATAATCGGCTGCTGTGTGTACTAGGCGCCGTGGCGGGCTGAACTATGACGCAACTCTCCACTGATCGTCGGGTCAGGAAGGCCCTCTCAGCAAAAGGAAAGCAAATAACCATCTAGGTAGAGGCTCGCATTCAAGCCTTGAGTCTGAACCTACACGTCTTAATGGATACTCTTGGTAACTTAATCGGGTTCCACTCTTGGCTGACAATATCCCAACGCAGCACACCAAGAAAGCATAATGAACCAGAGGGGCCGGTGATCAACTTGCATATTGTTGATCTTAATCGCATTAGGATCAAACTGAGGAATTATCATGAGGTCATATACGAAACTCTTTGCCAAATTGGACTATGATCCGACTCAGGCACCCCGCACACACCGCATCACAAACTTATTAAAGTGCGCTACTCCGCTATCTAGGAAGAAAACAATTCAGTCACCTCAACGCATACTCATTCTCATCTCTCACAATGACTATCAGTATCCAGGACGAGTATGCCCAGCTCATGGCCCCTAATAAGGATGGTCACTACCTATATAAACCTCAACCATTTAGTATCTTCCACCCCGGCGTGATTGGGTACTTCGACAACGACGGAGATTGGCACTTCATTACCGATATTTCCCAGCCTGGACATCCTGAAAGTCTGGGATTCACAGGGCTTGGTCGGACCCTGTACCCCACAGAACCCAAAGAAAGCATGTGGAAAACCAGGTCCTCGGGAAGTGAAGCCGAAGCAAGCTTCGGGCTCACTGGAGGACTTTCAGGTGCCATGACTGCTGCCCCTATGGATGTGTCAGCTAATGCAAAGAACAAATGGGGCAAGACGGGAAAAGCTGCGCTTATCACCGGCCAGGTAGTGGTAAGTGAAAGTTTTAAGGATCCTTACACAAAGCCGATTGAGGAATGGGTCAAGAAAAATGCAAAGGCTCTTGTGGACTCCGACTATGGTGCCGATATCAAAGAATACGGACTGTGGGCTATCCAAAAGACATGGTCAACACAGGAGTGTGCCGTTACTATGCAAAGCGCCCATAACCGGGACACCAGCGCGGGTTTGGATCTCGGAGCCACCGGTGTTGGGAAGATTGGAGGTAGTGGATCGTCCCTTGTAAAGGGCAACATTGAGGGCTGGACGACGTACAAAGCAAAACCGGTTTGTTCATCGAAGCCTTGAGTTATGGTTCAAGTTCTGACTTCATAAAGAGCGAGATTGCATACGTMGTCTCGTACGCCGGGCCTATCTACAGGCTTCACAGCATTCAAATGTTCCGTAGCAACGTAAGTGTTTCGCTAGGATGCTTTTGACATGAACTGACCTTGGAAATGGATCCAGCCACTCAAGCAGATCCAAAAGCAGGCTTCGGACGATACCGAGTACTGCAAACCCGTTTACGATGAGAACGGAAACCAGACTGGATTTGAGTTCTTCAGGCCCGTGTATGATGAGAACGGGAAGCAGATCGGAGAGAAGAAGATCGACAGAGAAGCCGAGGAGAAACAACGAGAAGAAGAAAGGAAAAAACTGGAAGAAGAGGCCAACCAGCTTGAAGAAGACTTCTATGTTGAGAGCGCTGGTACTATCGGATTGACTGATAGCGACGACGAAGCAGAGGAGCAGGAAGCTCGTGTCGAGGAAGAAAAGCGCAAGGAAATCATGAAAAAGGTCGCAGTGATAAATCAGATACCGGATGAAGAGCAGAAGAGGGCTGAGCTGCTCAAGTTGATGGAAGAGAGACTGACGGTGACGACCACAACTGAGTCCGTGACTATGTAGGTTGAATGACGGACTAAGTAGTGAGTAGTGACAGTTTACAGCTAAGGATAGGCTAATTCTACGGTGGACTATAGCTTATAATGTGCAATTTTTAGTTTTTTCTACAATGATTATTACAGCCGACCACTCCCACACCCCTCCTGTCGCACGCACCGCGCTGGTATCAAATAACATAGTAAAAAAGGGATGAGTTCCCCGTATAAACGTCTGTCGCAGCAGCACTGCCAGGAAGAACAAACATTAATCAATCACTGAAGGATTCCATGCGCGCCAGCTCTGTATGATACTCACCCTATTCTCACCATTGTGCCAACTTTGCGGGTACAAAAGCGCAGTTATAGTCGAAAGATCTGCCTAGAATTGCAGCAAAACTTGGGCCTCAGAAGCTTCCACCAAAAGGCGTCCACCATCAACAAAACCCTGGACGGCACGCAGTCGCATATCTGGCGCAGGGCCCAGCGGTCCTGGTTGGCTTAATGATGGTCCGAGACTAATTTTGGTCCCCGGTTGCTGGAGAATGAAACAGTGACGCAAGTTCGGGGGTGCTGAATCCGGAGGACACGATGCTTTCAGCACTGCCTCCGCCATCTGAATTAGATGGGTTTCCTTTGTCTCGACAAGTGGGTAGCTCAGAATCCGCTTGCTCAGAAGCGTGTTGCCGTCGGACTGTAGCGCGACAGATACTTTCGCAAAGGGCTGAATGGCGATCGAGTAATCCTTGCATGGGCTGAGAATCACATCTGTGCCCAATCTGAGTATATTTAGGAGGCTGCCGTTAGATCCAGAAAAGCCAAAGGAAAACGTCTGCATGATAATAAAGTCCAGGACTTCTTTTGCATGGGCTTCCCAGGGCTGTACAGCGTCGTCCAGCCGGACGCGTGCTGGCACTGATTGGATCGAAAACTGGTTGATAGTCCGATGCGCCAGTATGTTACGATCAAAGAAATGGGCTGGGCCACCATTGAACTGGAAGAGGAGCTGTCCATTTTCACCATTAAGAATCGAAATCCTCCCCGTTCCCACCCAATTCTCATTATCACTTAGCACCACAAGCTCATGCTGTTCACCTATGTGTAAGAGTCTTCTGCAGGTTCTGCTATGGGCCCAGTTTCTAGGCCCGACGGCGGATGACTCGTAAATAACAGAAGGATTGCTGGCTCGGAAGTCGATGCCAACAAGATCAAATGTGTCGCGGTTTGAGCCCCGTCTCGCGCAATGCAGGACAGACCTCCCTATTAAGAGCGGGGTGAGCTCGCCTGGAACACCATACCTTGGGTCATTGTGCCTGTGATCTTGCCGCCAAACAGTTTTGCCATCAATGGGCGAATAGACAGCGCTTCTAATCAACATCGTGAGAATGAGCTGACGTGCTCTGTAACAGACAGATTGTACCATATGATGTTTATATACGTACCTGGCACGGTCTTTCCCTTTCTCCCTGAGCCGCAGTAGTAAAATCCCCTCCTGATTCATCTCAAGGTACATCAGATCCACATGAACCCTCCAGACCTTCTTGAGGGGAACTGTTTTAGCATCCACGACTGCGCCACCCGGAACAGCAAGTTTATGCCAAGACACAGTCGGTTCATCCTGTTTCCTTCGACCAGCTACAAAGCTTCCCCCAATTATCATATCATAGTAACTCCGGAAGTGGAATTCTCGCATTGATGATGGTTTGCCTGACTGAATGCAATGCTGTTGACGGGCTGTGAGTGAGGAAAGGCGCAAAAAGATTAGTATGCTTGACTCAAGTTCGTATGGATACATCAGAGGGTATGTATAATAGACTAAATTAATACGCACCTTGAACTTTGAACGCCTCCCAGATTGCGGTGTTTGACCCTCGCGCGAGATCCCAAATAATATGTGGAAAATGGACACGGAATCCAAATGCTGCTACCCACCAGTGTATGGTGTCTCTCCAACCTTTGCACACACACTCGCACCAAGTAAGGTCTGGAAGTGAGAGATAATGTAAGATGAGATTCACAACATCTCTATTCATACGGGCGAAAGGATCCAGACTGGGACTGGTCTGGGTGCCCTGGGTGCCAGTACTGGAACAGGTATCATCGACTGCTATTCGCTTTGACCTGCCGATTCCTCTAAGCTGTCCTGCATCAACTGTGGACTTCCTTTTTAGTGGCATGGTAGGAGAATCTTGGGAAGTGTATCTCAAGTCCAAAAGAGTACTATATACAGTCGAGTGCTCTTTGCAGGTCTTGGACCCCTGGGTGTGACTCCAACTTCTGTAAGGTGCTCGTTTTGGCTTCTCAGTCGTTCCCTGCAAAAGTAAAAAGCCCCTGACCTGCCGACCACACGAAGATAGTCAGTTTGAGGATATGCAGAATCAGGTTCCATTCTTGGCACTCGTGTTCGACTCTTGGCACCCAATGCAATGACGTCGTGGGCCAGATCCCTCTCGTGTTGAGCCATAACACGTTCTGCAATTATCACGCTGAATTTTGGATATGAGTCACTTCAGGCTTGTATTCACAGGGTTTCTCTGGCTGTGGGCTTTTCCCCAGAAACATAAACCCCGAAGGAAACCCACACCCTCGTAAAATCAAAGTATCACAACATAGTAACCAAAACATTCAATCTCCTCTCTACCTTTTCTGGCAGAGATTCGCCAATATCACACGATGGCCACCCCCACCCCTCCAAGACTCAACCACGTCTTCCATCTCCGTGGCCACATTGGCAAAGACACCATCAATGCGGGCCAATTCCGTTCCGGTCCACACCGACGCATCACCGCGCTCGAAGGAGGTTTCCTACGAGGTATCCCTGGAACCCGGGGTGATGGCCTCGACGCAACTCTCATCGCCGGCGGAAGCGATTGGATACTCTTTGACGAGAGCACAAACACGGCGCACCTGGATGTGCGAACACAGGGCCGCACGAAGGATGGACAGTGCGTGTATATTCATTATAATGGATATTTGCGAACAGATGAGGCTGCGCAGCAATTCAGGAGCTGGAGCCCAGATGCGAAGACGACCGAGTTTGGGCAGCATCACTGGTGGATTGCGCCGAACATTGAAGTTAGTGGTATGTTCGCACTCCTCCCGCGGATGAATGGTGACCGATACAAGACTGACGATAAAGCAATGCATATAGATCCCAACTTTAAATGGGTCGCTACGACGCAATTCATTGGCCGGGGCCGTTGGTTTAAGGAGGGGGATGTCCAGGCTGTGGAATATGAGATTTTTGAGGTCGCTCACTAGGTCATTCAGGGCTATCGAGGAGCCCCATGTACATAAAGATGAATATTTAGAGTGATCGGTTTCCCTGGTATCAGTTTGGACCCTGCTCCAGTTGTAGCATTTGTGTTGGGACCTCTCTAAAAGAAGCTTCTGCGCCGTCTAAAGTGGAGAAAAAACCTCCTAAGAAAAGCAAAAGGGTTAAAGGCATGTGGGCCTTTGCGAATTTTGGACATAAGGCTTTTCTCTGTCTGTTTCATTGTTCACATCTCCCCTTGATTCTCTTCGGACATTTTAGATCCGCTACTTAATCATTGCGGATCTATTACTCAGCTAGTTTAAAAATGCTAAAAAGATGGACATTGTATATCTAGAGTTAGTTGGTACTGCTTGTTATTTCCTCCACATCCTAATATGATTATTGCGACTCCTTAAGCTGGACTTTGAAAGACTCAAAGTCTCAGATGTGGTACTGATTCATTCTTTTTCTACCTATTTATTTGAATTCTCCAACTGAGCGATCTTCGCGTGTAAATAATTCCCAGCGGGGTCTTCCTTGGGAGCTTGAGATTGGCCTATTTGACCGGAATGGCAGCTGAAAAATGCTCCCTTAAAGCCTTGATGGAAGGAGTGAAGAAGTATTCTCCGCCCTTCTGATCAACCCACGGACTAATGCCAAGGTTAAGCTTAACAGTCTTGTCTGGATTGCTTCCATCATATAAACTGATGTGACCCTCGGGATGATCGGACCGGAGTCTCTGGTTGACAAAGGGGTCCATCCCAGGCCCGTCGGGGAAAGTCTTGGTCTTGTACTCAGGGAAGGATGAGTTGCTCGCCCAGCCTATATATTTTTTTTTAGCATCATAGGCAGATCCCGGATAACTGAATAGAAATGGTAAACTTACGTGTCATGAGGAAGTTGAACCCGTCCCGAATAAGACTCTGGTAGCACGTAAAGTAGATCCCACGGTGTTCAATTGTCCTCCTCTCCCTTTTTTCCTCCTCAGTGAGCTCAGGACCAAAGGTGATACCACGACGGAGGATGACACTAGCATCCTCTGCTTGTCCTTCGGCCTCGGACTCATCACTTTCTGGCTCTGGAAGCTCGGTGGTATCGCCATCCTCTTCTGTCCCGACGTCACGTTTCTTATCCGCTCGAGGACGCATCTTGCGGATGTGAGCGGCAAAGGGACAGCCTCTGATGCTCTTCTTGGGTCTGAAATCGAACTTGTTGTCGAACGCCAGGTCTGGGTTGTCCTCATCAAGGGCCTTGGCGACAGGGGCTCCTGGATTGTCGATTAGTCCTTGCTTAGTCGGTGGATCATAATATGATATGAGGACTGTAGGCCTACCGCTCTTCCATCGTCCCATCAGATGAGCACCCAGCTTCGCAGGGCCATTGGCTCCCTTGTAGTTGGTCCCTGGGATTTTCGGTGCCGACTCCTCGAGGAACTTTTCAAATTCAGGAACCTTTTGGTCGAGCTGACGAAAGACGAGGAAACTGCCCTCCTTAGCCCACTCAGGGCCTCTTTTCATATTGGGATCACCTTTGTGGCCCAGAAAGATGTACCTAATTCCTGTTAACGGGCAATTCACAATCAAGCTCTCGACGGGGTCGGACACACCCAGGAGGACAGGCATGAGGTTCACCCTTGGCCGGGGGATCATCCAGGCCTTTAATCCTTGGTTGAGAGATGTGGTCCTCGTAACCAAAGCTACAGAATCAGCATCATTCATAGGCACTAAAATGAAAGCAGGAGAATCCATACTGCTCTTTGCCACGGTCTGCACCAGGACGCTGTTGGCCATCTCTTCTGAAGGCGATCTTCATACTGGCTCGATTCGCATCGCCCACGTTGAAGGCATCCTCTAGGTCATAAACCTTCTTGCGCACAGCTTTTGCAGTGTGGGCAGCGACAATGAAAACACCATCGACTCTCCACTCCCAACGTTCAAGACCTTCCTTCGTTTCGTTTCCGGGAGGAGCCCTGAAATCCGGATGCAAAGCAGCAGGGCTATCAGCACCTTCATAGACGAGGTCATCGAACATTCCCTTCTCAAAAAGACCCTCGTTGATTCTATCCCTGCAATAATCATCTGGGTCCTGTTCCTTGGTCGCGACAAATTTCGCTTCGACGTCCGGATGTTCCACCTGAGAAAATATCACGATATTAGAACACGGCTATCAAACAAGTACATAATAGGGGAGAGAACAGACGAACCTTGAGCAAGCCCATGTGGGTGAAGGCGATGTTCACTGCGATGAAAGGCTTCCGGTCTGCTTCTGGAATATCACGTCGGGAGCTTGCACATGCTTCTTCCAACTCACCAGTTGACTTCAGGTGGTCCTCGCATTGAGTGCCGGTGGTAATCTCCCCATTGTCAAGGATATCCCTGAGGTGTATTCTGAACCTCTCTTTATTTGTGATCTTAAAAAAAAGGTAGGATTCATAGTATTTGGGGAGACGGGGCCAGATGCTGCCTTGGATGTTGTCAGTGTCGACCACTCGCTCTTGCTTGTCGACAGGCATTTCGATCTGTGCGTACTGTGGAAAGTCTAATGAGAACGAGGTCTGCTACGCCTTCCGAGTACTGACGGGGCCTTTTATGTCTGCATTCGGGACGAAGGCAAGTAGCGGATTGCATCACCAGGATCAGCTCAGCTCCCCCTCCTTGGCCTCCCACCATCCCTCCATTTAAGATGGAAACTGCATCATACATCACGGCTTAAAGCAATAGATAATGGACGGACCATGGTTTGTGGATTCCTCGATTCAAATAAGGGGAGGATCTTCTTGATGCAATGCCTTTCTCCATGCACTGAAGCAGATCTGTCCGCATGTTGATCCACTCCTCCTCCTGCTGAGACGATGACGTCCAATATAATCAGTCCATCATCCCCATGTGGTGCCGGTGAGGATGATGTATGTTTCTTACGCTGATCTGGCGGACCCTGGCGGCTGGGATCACACTAATCACATCTCATAGATTAGTATTCCGATTGATAGTAATTCGGATCTGCATCAGCACAGATGGCAGCATCTCTTCAGCTGAACAGTGGGGATAGTGGAGTCCAGCGTGATGCATGCAAACACTACTACCAGGGTGTTCTTGTATATCGGTATCGTAGGTAGCACGAGTACGGAGATATCCGCATCCAGCGGTATGACTTTCCACCGTATCCAATCAGATGCATTTATAAGACACCTTGTGAACCAAACTCTCAGTCAGTATGATAGATACATGGAAAGGAAGGATGGCAGGACCGAGCCGTCCGCATAGTGGACCTGAGAAGATCCACTTGAGAGTTCACAACGAGTCAACTAGAACCATGATCAGCAATGATCATCAGCGGGTCAGCCACCAAGGAAGGGCGATCTCCGCCGTAATAGATAATCACTGAGGAAGCAGGTTTGCCGAGTTCCCGACCAGGCGGAACATCCACGCAGCAGGTACCTTGGGATTTCTGCAGTTCTTACCAGCTTGCCGGTACATCTTTCCCTCCGATCTGGACATCAACCCGTACAGGTCTACACCAAGTCCATACTCGTACACCATGTCCATACACAAAGTGAATTGATTGTGTATCCGTATAAGATATATCGTCTACCGTATATCATCGACACGCAGTCAGGATATCAGACCTGTCTGTGATGGTGCAGCTTGCGATCAACGCAGAGGTGGAGATACTGGGGACTAAATATGCAATACGATCCCAACATGGAAGGATTCTCAGCACTAAACTTCATACTGGGCCGCAAGCGATGGTATAGGAACTGAAAGATCAATCTCATCACATCTCAGCCCATATCCACAGACGATCCCTAAGAAAACTGGCGATGGTGGCGAGCTGCATCCCAGATGCCAGGGCAGCTACCGACATTACGTATCGCGCAGTGTTGTTGATACTTTCCATCTGGCTGTTACTTATAATCAGTTCTCTTTTCACTCTTTCATTCCCATCCACTCTCACAGGATTTTCATCTGCATCAAAATGAAATTCCAGTGGACATATGGCCTCTACCTTGGGGCGGTGGCTGTCGACGCCTTTAAGCCCGCTGAGTTTTCCTATGAATCCTCTGAAGCGCAGCGCGTTGAGATTGCCAAATCGGTTTCTGGCAGGATCAAATACCAGTCTCCTCCTCCCGACTCGGACCTTATCCCCAAGACCAATGCAAAGAACTCAACTGAGAACTGGAAGGTCCAGTGCTCCAGCCAGTACGAAGGCAATGAGTGCGAATATGCAATTGACGACCGGAGCGAAAGATACTGGCATAGCGACCCTTCGAAAGAAGGGGAGGCTCCCTGGATCGTCGTCGATCTGCGCAAAGAGTACTACGTTTCCGGTCTGACGATGCTGCCTCGTCTGGACAAGAGCGTTGAGCATGGCCAGATTGGTGAGCACCGTATCTCACTCTCTCAGGACGGCGCAAACTGGACAGAAGTCGCATACGGTACTTGGGGATCGAACAAGAGTCCCAAGATGTCGGCCTTTATCCCCAAACCTGCTCGTTTCGTCAAGCTCGTTGCCGAGACCGAATCCCGTTCCAATCGGTCGCAGATCAAGAATGGGCGGATCTCTATCGTCAACCTTGCGGTTTACTCCTACAACGAAGGCACTTTCCCCCAAGACGGGCCCAGCATGGGTGTTTGGGGCCCCACGATTGATCTACCAATCGTTCCAGTGTCCGCTGCTGTCGAACAACATGGTGACATTATCATGTGGTCGGCTTGGGCTGACGACCAGTTCTTCGCCTCCCCCGGTGGTAAGACCCTAACCACCACCATGGACCGCGACGGCACCATCAGGCAGAGTGAGGTCTTTGAAACCAAACACGACATGTTCTGCCCGGGTACCTCAATGGACGTCGATGGTAACATTGTCGTCAGCGGTGGTGCTGACTCTGGTCGCACCAGTGTATACAATGGCACGGCGTGGGTGAAAGGCCCCAGCATGGAGATTCCTCGTGGATACCACGCTTCGACAACCCTCTCTGACGGTCGCATTTTTACAATTGGAGGGT